ATCTTAATTTGCACTTTACTTAAGCTTAAGTTTTGACTTCTCTTAAATAGGTTAACTTTGAGAATTAATTCTCATTCACCTATTACCGATTTTGAGCGTATAATGTATTAATTACTGTCTCATTACGAAGAACTCGAATCAACTTTAACCCGGCACAAATTGATAATGGACCCCCCATATACTTGTACCACAAAATAGCCATTTTAATTGTTATTTTATGCTAAAATTCCTAACATATTATTGTTAGTAAACGAATAAATAACAAACAACATCTAAATGACAATGGAAATTTTCTTCACCAAACTAATATAATTAATATTGGTATCATAGTATATTTTAAACTGATTCTTAATGGTTTGTTTTTAAAGAAATTAAAAGTTGAACTATGCATACAAAATAGTTTAATTGATATGATTGAGGCTTGAAATCTCCGCCCAAGTTTTGATCACTTACAATGGCATGTGCATTAGATGTGGCATAAGCAAGAAAGTGCCAAACTACGTACCATTATTTATGCTGCAAAAGTACATACAATAAGTTGCCGTAAGTTATTGAAAAGTTGGCATAAAATTTTAATGGCAACTTACCTGTTTTAGATTGTTGAGTCAATATTACACATAGTCACAAACCCATCATGGACATCTTTTTTTTTTTTTTTTTTAAATACTATTTAACGATATTTATTTATTTGTTACTCCATATAATATTTATACTTAATTTAGTATAAATGTATTATAATTTTCGTGTTTCAAGATCATCCCAAGTTTAACTTCTTGAAATTGCCATTTGGCCTTCTAGATTTGAGCGAGCCAGTTTTAGAAATGTAACCTATACAACTGATTTATCTAGTTGTGATATTTTAATGGTTAAAATCACAATACGGGTACGATTTCATTCTGAAAACACATTCGGATAGAAGCTACAAATTTTTTTTGTAAATCAAATGATAAGTAATGAAAAATGAATTAACAAATGCAAGCTATAAATAGAAATCCTATAGGTTAGAACGAATTGTTCCTTTCCTTTCTCAGGATGAGGAGTTAGCATTTAAAATTGACCATTGAATAAGGATTGCATCAAGCCTTTGATTTGCACCTCTTATGCACAAGAGAAAGCCTCTACACTATACAATTCAATAAGTTAAAAAAGAGCTCTTGTATAAATAGTGGGGCGAATCCTCTTTCCAAACCAATGTGGGACAAAAGCTTCACTTTTTACCTTCACTTTTCCAACTCAAATGTGTCTACTTTGAGAATCAATATCTTATTCACCCATTATCCGTTTTGAGCGTACAATATATCAATCTCTTCGTCTCACTACGAAGAACCCAAATCAACTTTGACCCGACCCAAATCGAAAGTGGACTCCGTTGATATTAGTACCACAAAATAGCTACTTAAAATGTCATTTTATGCCAATTTATGCTATTTTTTTTCCAACATTTTATATTAAAAAAAATTATAGAGTTAATTCCATTTTTTGTCATAGATTTATATGTGACAGTCCATGTTTAGTCATTTTTATCATAACAACCCCTTTGGTCCCAGTATTATCGTGGCATAGCCATTTTTTGTCCTCCATCAACATAATCGTTGAAATGCTGTTAAATACAATGACATTTCGATCTTTTTAATATAAAGTGCATTTACTTGATATATTTTTTATATATGTTTATATTTTTCAAAAAAAAAAAAAAAATCATAATGGAAGACCAAAATGTCCTTGTATTTAATGGTATTTAAACTGTTTTGTTGATAAAGGATCAAAATTAATTTGTCATGACACAATAATAGTAAGACAAAAGGAGAATGTTTTGAGAAAATGACTAAAAGTTGATTGTTATCCATAAACTCAAAACTTATATGTCATCATATTTATAATTGATTTGGATGTGAATATGTGATGAGCTCTATATTATTATTTATTTCATGCATATGAATGGTAAACAAGTAGATAGTTGTTAAAGAGTAAGTTCATCACTAAAAGATGATTAATTAACAACTAGTCACATGGTCATTACTCATTACTTTCGAGTTATCAATTTGTTATTAATTACAATATAATTATTTATTCAATCTTGTAACTTAAGAAAACACAGTTATACATCTAATGTGCAAGACTGCAAGGTGGATTAGGATTGTTCATTTATCACATTTTACCTATTCCCTAAATTCTAATCATGATTGATTAATCATATATATATATAGAATCGCACTCAGGTGCGAATGCTTCGCCCAGACGCGAAATAGGAATGAATTCTGTTCGTCCACGTGTCCAGATCTAATGGATGAGAAACACTGATTTTTTTTTAAAAACGCGGTGGCATTTTCGTAAATAATTGAACATCGAAGTGCAAGTAAAATGTATTACAAGTGCATGTAAAATGTATTAAAGGTGCAAGTAAAAATTTACACTGAGCATCAATACTTAGTTGCACCTATAGTTCTAAGTAGTTGCACCTATAGTTCTAAGTAGTTGCACATATAGTTATAAGTAGTTGCACCTAGGTGTATGAATGTTTGCGAGTGGTTTTCAGGGGTATTACTACCCGCTGAATTCAGATCAATGAATGTTAACAAGCCAAAATTACATGCACTTATAGGTGAAAGAAGGTGCACCTATAGTTATATGTAGTTGCACCTATAGTTATAAGCACACACAGGTGCATGAATGTTTACGGAAAGTGAATGCTAACAAGGCAAAATTACATGCACTTATAGGTGAAAGTAGGTGCACCTATAGTTATAAGTAGTTGCACATATAGTTATAAATAGTTGCACATATAGTTATAAATAGTTGCACATATAGTTATAAGCACACCCAGGTGCATGAATGTTTGCGGAAAGTGAATACTAACAAGGCAAAATTACATGCACTTATAGGTGAAAGTAGGTGCACTTGTAAGTGATTTTACTTGCACTTCGATGTTCGATTATTTACGAAAATGTCACCGCGTTTTTTTTTAAGTTATTAGATCTGGACACGTGTCGCGCGCTGATTCGTTCGCATTTCCCTCCTGAGCACTTATTCGCACCTGAGTGCATCCCTATATATATATATATATATATATATATATATATATATATATATATATATATGATAGTTTTTATCTAGTTTCATAATGAGACGTATGTACATTCAATAAAACATAAACACTTATAAGGTCGGGGTAACATACAACAAATGTTCTTTATTATTCAATAATCTTATGAGAAAAAGAAAGAAGAATATCTTAGTTTTCTAGACAAAGTAAAATAATTTGATTAATTTCATGTTATAACTATTTAATATAGTAATATGATTAGGCCAGTGAGTTTAACTAGCTAGTTCAATTATGCCAATGTGATTAGAATATAGTGTATAATATAAGGAACATATCACATAGTAATTGTGACTAAAGACTAATTATATTGTAATCCATTACATTATTAGGTGCACAGTTAAAGTATACTATTACGTATAACTCAGACTAAGTGTAACTATTATTATCCCCAACAAATAAATCTACTCTCTTTTCTTCCCCTCTTTGTTTGATTTATCACTACTTCTATATTGGATTTTCATGTTTGTTAAATTAGGTTCTAAAACTATTTTTAAAAATACACTTCTAATCAATAAAAGCCACTTGTAATCAATCTCAACAAAATTTATATTATATATACAATATATGATGTTTAAATGACTTTGCATAATTTTAGTGAAAATAATGATATGTCCTCTCGTCTCTTGGATATAACTTGTATATAACGATTCAAAAGGATGTATTTGGTGAAAATAACTTTGCATGAAAAATCAATTAACATGTTTGGTGTTACTCAAGAAACATAAGCAATAAATTACTTAAAAATTAATTGAGATGTTTGGTTAGTTTAAGTTTTTTTAGAATTTTTTTTTTTTAAATTCGTATATCATTATTATATACAAACATTTATTAAAAAAAAAACATTACAAATAATTGAGAGTTTAATAAATCTCTTTTAAATTAATAAATCCTGTGCCAAAAAATTACCGTATGCAACAATAGTATGTCAAAATATAAAAATCTGATACCAAAACAAAATAAATACGGAATACATAATTAAATAAATTTGATAGATTTCTAAGTCATTGAAAAAACAAATTTCACTTTCTTTAGGTGAGATTTACTTTGATTTGAACTTTCTTAAATTAAAGATTGCACTTAAATATAAAAGGCAAAAACTTGTGTGTAACCGTCTCACGAATCGAGTCAATATGAAATGTAATAGTTATACTAGCAAATGTAATACTTTTGAACTAAAATGTAATACTTCTACATTTTGATGTAAAAAATATTACTTTTTAATCAAAAGTATTATAATTTTTCTTATAAGTAATGATACTTTTGATGAAAAAGTAATACTTTTACATCAATATGTAAAAGTATTACGCTTTTCCTTATAAGTAATAAACATTTTATTCATAATTCTTCCAAAAGGCTGAACCCCAACCTTAAGCCTTAAGGCCCCCCACACCCCGACCCGACAGAGCATTTGGGACATTTTATTCATAATTAATATTACATTTGGATGTTGATCCGATCCATCTCACGGATAAAGATTCGAGACTGACTTCCCAATATAAAATGAGTTATACTATATGGACTCTCAAGTTTTACTCCCTGATTCGGCGGTCATTGATAAGCTACTTTTATTTTTCACGTGAGTCCCAATACAAGTGTCTACATATCAATTTTTTGTATGAGAGCAAAACTTGAGAGTAAGAATTAAGAAATTAGATTACATATAGTATTTTTCATTCTCACAAAAAAAAAAAATAGTATTTTCCATATAAAATAGTTTTTCACTTTTTTAAAATTTGAAGTTTCCTAAGTACAAAATGGTCTCAAAATAAAAATCAAAGTTGAATCAAAGGCAGACAGGCAGGCAAAACGAAATAAAGACGGAATCTAGGAAAAGAAAAGTGGGAAAGCGTACAATATACTAGGTTCCGGTCCCTAAAAACGAGGGAAAGCCAACGGGGTTCGTACTTAAACGCAGAAAACATTTTCACTATCAAATGGGTTTGGTTTTGGTTTTGGGGCTTCCCACCACGCTATACCTCCTCCACCATCTCTTCTTCTTCTTTCTCCTCCCTACTCCCTTCATTCAATTGACTGTTTGACCAAGCAGATCCGGCAATGGAGGAGGGCAGGAAGATCTTGTGCGATTGGGCCGTGATTCGATCCCTATTTGCTATTCTTCAGTGGTGGGCTTTCAATGTCACCGTTATTATCACCAACAAATGGATCTTCCAGGTCTGCTCTTCTCTCTTTGATTTCCCCCTTTCATTTTGGATCTTCCTGATTCTAAATTTCTTCCCAGATATGTTATTCAATTCTAAGTTTGCACATTTCTCAACTGGATTGGTGAAGCTCAGCTCCTTTTCCAAGTTTATACTGCTTTGGTGAACCCCATTAATATGATCCAATCCGAGATCCCTTTTTAACTACTAACCTTGCTGCAGTTGTTTCTTATGTTGCCTTTTGTATTCATATATTTGAACTTTGAAGTGTAAGCTTGCACATTATTAGACTGTTGAAGCTCCTTTACACAGTTTAAATTTGTATAGTATCATTTTCTTTCCCCTTTATAGTCCAAGAATTACTTGTAATGAAGCTATTTTATAATGCAACCCTATTAACATTGTGAAATACTTGTTGGTACTAGATTGATTATCTACTAATCTTGCTGCAATTGTTTTGTATGTTGCCTTTTGTAGGCATTATTGTGTTTTTAATTGGTGTTCTCTACTGCAAAACTCATAGTGTTCTTGGTGGACCCTTTGTTCTATTTGTTTTTGAACAGAAATTGGACTTCAAGTTCCCTTTGACGGTGTCTTGCATTCACTTTATATGCTCAGCTATTGGTGCCTACCTGGTGATTAAAGTGTTAAAGATCAAGCCTCTAATTGTGGTTGACCCCGAAGATCGCTGGAAGAGGATTTTCCCCATGTCATTTGTATTTTGTATAAACATAGTTTTGGGAAATGTCAGCCTGCGCTATATTCCTGTTTCTTTTATGCAAACCATAAAGTCATTTACCCCTGCAACTACAGGTGAACTTTTGGCTACATACATGTTTTTTTTTTTTTTTTTAAATCAATAATGTTGGATCATGCAATTATTAGCTATTACCAATATGTGATGTTGTGCAGCTCTAATTAGTTTTAGTTCCATGAAGTTAATGACTTAAAACTGATTCTAATCCTTCCTTTTTGACCTGCATATTGAGTTTGATTATCTTGTATTTCAATAGTCATTTTGCAGTGGCTGGTTTGGGGTAAGCACTTTGATTGGCAAATTTGGGCTTCTTTGGTTCCTATTGTTGGAGGAATTCTTCTTACATCTATCACAGAGCTTAGTTTCAATATGTTTGGATTTTCTGCTGCCTTATTTGGCTGTCTTGCTACTTCTACAAAAACTATCCTTGCAGAATCTCTGCTTCATGGTTACAAATTTGACAGGTAACCCCTTCTCTCTTGTGCACACAATGAGGACTTTTTCCTTTTGTTCTTCTCTTCTTTCTTGGTTTTATTGTTCAAAGGAAAATTAGAGCATATTTCATTGAGGGGAGAATGCACTTCCTCTGTTCCCTTTTCTACCTCTAGAGTAAACTACCGGCAATGGGGTACATTGTTAGCATTTGCATGAGGCTACCCAATTGTAGTTAAAAATATAGAGTTATACGATTGGATTGGCACATGATATTGGCCCTTTAGTAAATAAAAAATGCCCTTAAATCCTTTCCTCAAATAAACTATCGATAAAGTATGTGGCGAATGAAAATTTGGACCTAGTGTGCTAGGCCTCACAACATGTTGATTCTAGGGATGGAAGATGCGCTCAGCTTTATTTTCAAAAAGGGTTTGCCAAGGATGAATGAGTAACCTAATTGTCAATGGGTGAGTGCATTGTTTTAAAAGCATATAACATGCCAAGCACCTTGTGCTCAGATGGCATGTAGTGACCTCTCCCATGTGGGAAGTCATGAGATCGAGCCTCAGTGGAGGCGTTGTTGACTCTTTGTGCTTCATTAGGTTGAGAAAGTATATTTGAACAGATACTACAATGTAATAGAGTCAGTAGCATTCAAAAAAAAAAATCATATAACATATGATTTAAATTAGCATAGATCAAGTGGTCAAAGTTTGCTTGCTCATTGCCAAACTGGAAGAATTTTGATTCCCATTTTGTAGAACCAGATAACCCAGCAAATAGCGGTTTTGGGTGAATAAATTTAGCTTTTATCAGTATGCAATTTACTGTTTATGCTGTGTTCTGGTGAAATCATCTCCATTTTTTTTTGCTGAAGATGGCACATTATATGAAAAAAAGAGAGTTTTAATCTATTTTCTTATTTATATCCCAATATGTACTACCCCACTCCATTTTAGCTACTCAATAATCAATATTCACCCCCTACGCACTGTTATTTCACTTCCTTTAAGTCCAATTTGCATTATGATTTTATTAACTGTTCTCATACTTCAGATTGTACCTATAACCTCTAGATTTTCTTTAATTCATCAAGATTTATAGCAAGATGGGAAAATCAAGATCATAAAGGGGATCTATACTGTATTGCTAGTGTCTTACAATGATTAGGTATACTTTTGGTTCTTTCCTTTTAGATTTGGAAACACAAAATTGTGAAATTTTCATTAATAGTAATTACTAATAGCAGTTTGTTTATTTTCTAAATTAAAATTTATCTTTTTAGTCCTAGTAGGATTAGGATTAGTTAGGGATGTCAACCTTAGCCCGAAACCGATCCGATCGACGGGCCCGATAAGACCAAAAAATTTAAGGGTTAGTGACAAAAAAATTTAACCCGATAAAAAATCAACCTGATAAGCTCGATGACCTGAACGGGCTAGCCCAATAGCTCGAGCCGGTCCCAACTCTAAAGGATAAAGAAACGGAGCCATATGGTTAAGGTTGCTTTCATAGTGTTTTGACCCTTGATGACTGGTTATATTTGTGACCCTTGACCTTGGCTAAAAATCTTTTATTTTTGCTTTATTTTTATTGGTATTCAAGGCTAAGTAGCACAATTTAAAGGTTAAGAGCATACCTCGGATTGCATCTTTCTTTCCTCGGTAATGGTTTCCTAATTTGTTGCCAGAAATATGCTTTCTAGAAACCATAATCAACAGATTTCAGGATGGTATTGTCTTGTTTATCATAATTTGCAGGACAAGTTTATTGAAATTAAATTAAATATTTGAAGTTTTAGACACTTGCATCTCATTTGTCCTCTTATTTCTATTTTCCAACATCTTTTGTAGCATAAACACAGTATATTACATGGCACCTTTTGCAACTATGATCTTGGCTGGACCAGCTTTACTATTGGAGGGACCTGGAGTGGTGGAATGGTTGCATACTTCTCCATCTCTTCTCTCGCCATTTATTATTATATTTGGCTCTGGACTTTTGGCATTTTGCCTTAACTTCTCTATTTTCTACGTCATCCATTCCACTACTGCCGTCACTTTCAATGTTGCTGGAAACCTTAAGGTGAGTGGTAGTCCGTCCCTTCTATCATATTGTAGTCCTTTGAGTTTTGTTCTTTGGCCAACAGAGCTGTTACAAAAACCGCTCGTTTTGATGGTATGGATTTCTTGTTTGTGTTAAATATGTCCAAATATGCAGTGATGATCTTTATCATCTAGTGTTGGTGAATAACAATCCATAATCAAGTTAATACCCAATTTAGTCATTGACTATAATGGTTTTTCTCGATTTAGTCCTGAACGTCATTTGTGCTTAATTGGGTCCAGGACTTTGATGGTTTTACCTAATTGAGTCCTCTGTTAAGATAGCTTGGTAATTTCTCCTCTATTAATATCCAATTTAGTTCTCGACTATAGTGGTTTTACCCATTTAGTCATCAACTGAAGTGGTTTTTGTCGATTTGATTCTTGATTCGAATAGCTGAGGACTCAATTAGGTAAAACCATCGAAGTCCAGGATCTAACTAAGCACAAAAAGACATTTAGGACTAAATTAAGAAAAATCACTATAGTCGATGACTAAATTGGGTATTAACTCATCCATAATCTTAGGGTTGGAGGGGGAGGGGGCAGGCCTTTGATCAAACCAACCATCATTTTTTTTTGTTGCCCAAAGGTATCCCTCTAGCCGATAGCCAGAAGACTAATCCTCCGTCCCAACGGTCAGCACACTAAGTAGTAGGGGACTGGCCAAACGGTCAGCACACTAAGTAGTAGGGGACTGGCCAAATGGTTTGCTCCATTCACATGGGTAGAGATTGAACCCCCAACCTCATGCTTAAGGAACGAGGTGGTGAACCACCACGCCAACCATGTTGGCTATCAAACCAACCATCATGTTTCTGGGTGGAAAAGAAATTATCGTCTGATAAGAACTGGGTGAAGAATAGAAATAATAAGTTTCTGCATGACCTGTTACTTGTTATCTCTTGAGAAGAAGCATAATATTCATTTTATGCAAATGCCTTATCGAAATTCATGCGATATCTAGACTAGCCAAGAAATTTTAACGATATCTAAGTTCTATACATAAAAGTGCCGCCTTTCACGACATCTTTTCTGATATCCGAAACTTTTACAGGTCGCAGTTGCTGTTACTTTTTCATGGCTGATTTTCCAGAACCCGATTTCGGGGCTGAATGCTTTTGGATGCGGGGTGACTCTCATCGGGTGTACGTTCTACGGGTACGTGAGGCACATGCTCTCGCAACAGCTGCCTGGAACACCTCGGACCCCACGCACTCCCCGAACACCACGCACCCCCCGGAGCAAGATGGAGCTTCTTCCCCTTGTAAGTGACAAGTTAGACGATAAAGTGTAATATGTCCAAGCATTCATGGATGAGGAGGCATCTATTCATCTAACCTTGTAGCAAAATAGGTGACTATAAAAATACATAGGAAAGAGGGGAAAAAAAAGGAACCTTTTTTTTACTTGTTTAATTTCCTATAGGTTAACTTATCCCCCTTCACCCCTGCAAAAGATTTTATCATACTTGAGATGTGCGATATTTATTGTCTGCGATTTCTTAATGAGTCATACATCTGTAATCGTAATATGGAGATGATGAGCTTAAATTATATACGGAGTTTGATATTTCATTTGGGATATATTATAAGTAGAGAGAAAAATGTTAAATTTGAAGAATACAGTTGCAAAGCAACAAAGTTGGTCCTAGAGTAACTTGATTAAAATTCTCGCGTCAAAATAGTTCCATAAGCATATAATTCATAAAATAAGTTATTCTGCTAACTCTGCTTTTCTTATTGGCATGCGAGTGAGCAGATGAATAACAAAACTCATGATAAGATTGTGGAATCGATTACATTGTTCTTTTTTGGTACATATGTTCCTGGTAATATAGTTAGTTTATTAGGTAATTTTGGCTTGTTTAATCACTATTAATTATTTGACTGGGTTAAACAGTCAATATGAGTATTTGATTAATTAGATTTTTGTAACCGCTTATTGATCCAAAAAGTTAAAATTTAAAAAGTTGTTCAAAACAATTTTTTGAAAAAGTTATTTTGCATGTAATTAGTTATCAGCTAACAATTAATTTTTTAACTATCTTTCTACAATCAGCTAATGTTTTTTTTTGTGGTGTCAATCAGCTAATGTTATTAATTAGTCAAACTCACTAACCCAATCAACTAACAGTTAATTCAGTTATTTACCAAATGTCCCTTGTTTTGTTAGTTGTTTAACAGCATACTAAATCAAAAGCAAATATAGTAATCCCGGGTGGGGTGTTTGGTTGGCATGAATTGCATTGGCATTGAATTGCAATTCAATGAAATGATAAACTACATTGCTTGGTTGGAGGGAATTGCAATTCCCTCAATTCATTGAATTGCAATTCATAGGCCCCCTTATGAATTGCAATTCAATGAATTTATCTATACATTGAAAAGGGAAAAGGAAGGAAATGACATATTTGCCCTTTGAATGTTATTATTAATATTATTACATAAGGGTATTTTAGTCTTTATATCACTTCTCACATTTTCATTATTTCTTCCTACTAAACAATGTAATTGTAATTCCTACTTTATTCTCACCTTATTCTTTTCCCACTGAATTACAATTTCTTTCTCCCTTAATTCATTCCTTCCAACCAAACGCCCCTGTAAGAGGCAAGTGCTCCTTCCAACCAAATGCTAAAGTACAGTACATAACTCAAACTGTTGGTTTTACGGCTGCGGGACAATACAATCGTAAAATAAATTAAGGAACAAATGAGAGAGCCAATGGACAGAGTAATTGCATGAGAATTGAATTCAAAATCCCATTTCAATGTGCTCCCAATGGGGTATTTATACAAGATTTGCATGCTTTGGAAAGGAAAGCAAAAAAAATAACAAATTTCATCTTAAGAAAGTTGCTTCTTCTTACTAGGATGCGGTATTGACTCGTTAGGCTTTAGTATGTTGAGAAAGTATATATGAACAGATACATATGTAACCGAGTTAATAGTACTCAAAAAAAAAAAAAAAAAAAAAAAAAAAATTCTTTCTCCTCCTCTTCTTCTTCTTCCTCGTCCTCTTCTTCCTCTTCTTCCTCTCCTCCTCCTCCTCCTCTTCTTCCTCTTCCTCGGATCAGTCCATATATGACAACACTAAAACATGCCCTAACCTGAAGTCCAGGAGTTTGCGATCGTTGTAACTGAAGTAGCTAAGGATGTACTTGATCTCGTGTTTTATGAAGCCATATTATCTCATGGTCAAGGATGACCCGCGACCATGCGTGGCCAATGACGATCCTCAGCCATGCATGCCCGAGGATAGTCCTCATCCATGCGCTGGTCGAGGTGATCTCAACCACAACTCACCACATTTTATGTTTTTTTTTAAATTATTATTTATTATTATTGTTGCACATATAAGAGTCGGAACCAGAGTAAACTGAGCTCAGGACTCGGGTAAAGTCCAACCAAAGTCTAAAATGGTTGAGGCAATATGCTGACAGAGTAGGCGGGTGACAAAATAATTGGCTAAGTTCACCTGATTTCACTGGCACTCGAAACTATGCACACATCCGATGAGAGCAATAAATGCAATCAAATTCAACAATAGCCTAGACACTTAAATGTAGGGCCAAAGAGAGGACGCATCTATGAAGGAGCCATGCACAACAATTATTAAAGTTTCATTGCACTTATTGAGGAGAGTGTTACAGTTATTATAAAGTCGTTGTACTTGTATAGAGCACTTGCACTTATTAGACCATATTAATTAGTTAGTATAAAATTGTGCATCTATGACAAGCATAGTGGACAAGCTCAAATATTGTACCAAGAACTATTTCAATATAATCGTTTATTCTTTGCTTACTACTTACTATATTCATAACGATATTCCGGTAAAATTATTTATCATTAAATACTAAATTTAATATTATAAAAAAATTAAATTGTAAATAATTTTAGTCAAACTTTATACATGAACATGCATATTTTAAACCATTTGAGAATATATACTGAGAAAATTTCACACTTTAATTTTAATTAATAAAAATAAATTAATCTAGATTGCTCATAGGATATGATCAAATCAATAGGTAATTAATACCGAAATCAAATTTAAAATGTTGTGATGGAGCCTGGAGGGCACTAATTTTCCCCGTAATCATCACGACCCATGTCTTCTTACCCATTTTAAACTATCACTTTGACCAATAGTCCAATACTTTACCCTTTGAACGGGCAAGGTGATCATCCGCATTTTGCCGTCATAGTTCAGCCACTCCGCCGGAAACGATGGGTAATTACTAATTAGCCACAAAGTCTTCTTTACATTCAGTGATCGCTGCGGTAGTACTGCAAATGAGAAGCTAGAAGCGCGTATATGTATGTATATATGGAAACTCCTAAAGGGCATCATCTTGATTTTCAGAAAAATCCCTCATTTGTCTCTTCTTCCCGGAGAGATGTCACTTATAGGTATGCTCTATTCTTCTTTTTTTTTTTTTTTTTTTTTTTAAATTTATTTTTCATTTTCCATTAATTTCATTCTATCTTATGCTTCTTTCTATCTGAACTCTGAAGGTACTGATTTTTCTTTCATTACGATATATATTGTAGCTTTTATTTCAGCAGAACCTATATTTGACAGTTGGGTATACTTTTCTAACTATTTTTACAAAGTTTTTTTTTTTTTTTTTAGTCTCATAGAATCTATAATTATGCTATTTCTATTCCCTGATTTTATGCTTAATTTACGTGTTCTATGAGACTATAAATCAAAGAGACCTTCCCCTAGGAGAAAGGCATTGAATGATCATTATAAGTTTATAGCTCTTGGAGCTGCGCAGAAAATACTTTGTTCGAGGGTGCTTTTGCAGTAACCCTTGTCTGTTATTCTTTTTCTCCCATATTTGGAATTCTAAATACAACTTCCTTCATTGAACATTTTGTCCAGTATTTTACTCTAACAATACCCCATTTTCCGAGCAATGGTGTTAGAAATTGTCTAGCATGCTTTTTTTTTTTTTTTTTTTTTTTGGCAAGTGCAATAGGGAAGAATAGTGTGGGGTTTGGGAAATTTTTGAGTCAAAACACATTTGGTAAATGCATTTAGCCTTTTAAAAAAAAAAAACTAAATCCTAAATATAAATTACGATGTATTTCTAGGATTTAATATTTTAGCCAAATGAAAAAAGCATGAAGATGTTTTCTGAAATGCGTTTTTGACAAAGTTTGATTGAATGCATTTCCTAAACATGTATAGGCTTCAATCCATAACACTAATCATCATAAAACTTGATTGTCTCCATCCCTTTGATTAAGCTTTCCTATTTTTGTGTGAATCGGGTGTCGTCAGAGTGGCAATTATATTTGTTCTGGCTAGTGCTATAGGAAAGAATAAATACACCTTTGCTGTTGGAGTGGTAGTTTCTAATTTTGTGTTTGTTTCAAATAGACGTAGGATTATGTATTGATTATTTCTTCCTCTTGGTCTTTTGCAATTTGTTTCACTCTTAAATCTGGAGTAGTTCTTTATTTCATTTTTGCCAAAAATCCATTGTTTCTCTACTTGTTTCATTTAATATATTTTGTACTTCTTTACTTTTATGCTGCTGTTAATCCTCATCTATTGGTCATCTATACTATATCCGAGCCTGCTAAAGTATTTTTCTAATTTTCTCTGTAAGAATTGTATAAGCTGTAAGAATTGTATAAGCTAAGCATCTTGAAACCTGACGTGTCACGCTTTACTGATCTTCTTTTTTATTTTATTCCTGTGTTTATGTTCACGCAGCAGAAACATTCAAAACCTCCAAACTATTAATTGCTGAAACCATTCATTTTGGTTTCCTTGTTACTGGTTGCCATCATGAGCTGTTGAAACTTTTAAATGTTGATACCATTAAGGCTCAGTGTTTTCCAATTTCCTTCAGTCCAGTCACTAAAACTATCAACATCTGAATACACAGACACATATAAATAGACTGTTCCCAAAAAGTAGCAATCGAGATGTAAATATTAATGGAAGTGGTCTTCTGCTTCAGATTTTCATTTAGTACAATGGAAGGGACATTTTAAAAATATTGTCAATTCAGGATGTTGCTTTACAGAATGTGTTTTCTTGAATGAGTCGGAAAACCAACAAGCTTTAATGTCAAAATGGATCCTTTCAAATCATTAACTAATCCAACAAATCCTTCAATGGATTGTGTGTTAAATAAATCCTTTCAAATCATTAACTAATCCAACAAATCCTTCAATGGAGTGTGTTAAATAATTTTGATTGAATGGAAAAAATTGTTTAATATTTCATAAATGCACAACTAAATCATTTGTTATTAGGCTGCTGATAAAGTTTGCAATTGTTATACCATGGACCAGGGTCCACCTTGTATTCTGGGCCTAATCCAAAACCAAAACGATATTCATATTATGTGTCTGCAATTAACATATCATGTACCTTCAGTTAATAAATTACGTGCCTACTAGAATTAACATATTATGTATATGCAATTAGTGTATTATGTGTTTGTAGTTAATAAATTATGTACCTGCAGTTAACATATTACGTGCCTTCAATTTATTTATTCATAATTTGTTAACTGTAGGCACATAATATGTTAATTGCAGACACATAATCTGAATCCATGGAATAATTTGCCTAAAGTTTGATGCTTTGTGCAATAATTGTTTCATTTGCCAATACAGTTATGAGTTTTTGTGGATGTTCAAATTCAATCGTACTTTTTGCACAAAAATGTTGCTACCACTGATTCAATGTATTGCAAGCCGCGTCATTGATTTTGCGCTGTTCTTTATGCTTAAAGTCATTTTTGTTCAAACAGTTGCGGGTGTTGTGGATATGAATTAAATCTTTGCTCCTCTAGTCGCAATACCTCTACCATTGGTTCCAAGTACAGCAAATGCATCAAGAAAGGGATCATATCTTTCTTATACATTGACGAAAGCAGATTTACGCAGGTTAAAGAAGTGCGATGTATGCCCTACTTCGTTTCCAAGCACTCCTGGGGCTTCTTCCCAAGGAGGACAAAACTTTTGTGTCGAAAATGTGGCAACCGTGTTGGAACTGCTTACGATGATGATGCTGCTTACCCGCTCGTAGCTGATGAATTAGACTCCACAATTCCAGATGAAACCGCAACGCATAGAAGGTATGATATAAAAATTCGCTCATTGCAACCTTCTTCGGAAGATCCCCGAGCCCCTGCTGTCATATGATGTAACATAGACAGAATGCCATGTATTCTTCAGTGCAGATAATTTGTGGTGTGCTGTGATGTGTAGATAGCATTTGTAGACAGAAACTTTTATTGTAAGCAATTTTGTTAGTGGGTGCTTGTAATGTAAGTTATAACAGTTAATTGTATGATTTGTTCAGTTAATAGGGCCGCCCCGTTGTTATGTTATCTCAATAGAGGACAACAAAGACAATTTAGTTTGATTTGTATCGATGCATAACATGTTTGTTTGTTCCACTTCAACCCCTTATTGTTTTGTTGGAGTTTGATGGCATGTTTTGAAATAGTTAGTAATTGATAGTTTTTAATAGACTGGATCCATCATAAAACTGGTTTGATATCGGGTAGAGGGTACGGAAAATGTATTGGATTGATAGGGCTCAATACCCTTAAAAATATCACGCTACAAAAGTTTGTAACTATACATAAGGAAATAAATTTGGCTCAAGTGGTCCAACTACCAAGCTCAACCACAAGAGGTGGACTACTATTGTTAACTAGGGTGGATTGTTGAAGACAATTGACGTACTACGTTATTGACTAAGGGAGAAGTCCAAGAAAAGAAGAATAGTTGATGATGATGGTTTGGAACGAACACCACCCCTGCCTTTTATACTAATCTCAAGGTCGCATGCCGTGGATAGGTGCACGGACCTCATCGTCATGTCCTCCTCAACCACATGCATGTCCTACACTCCTGCCAGGTGTTGGGTTTTCCTGCTAAACATTTCCCCACGCATCACGTCGCAGTCATCTTGCAGATAATGTACAGGCTCCCAGCCAATCGCTCGAAGATCACGCACGAATCCCCACCCTGCCACATCATCATATGGTGGGCGATTTGTTCGAGCCGTTCGCATGTTACTCGGCGCGATCTTTCTTTGCCATTGACGGACGACCAAGGCGGCCCATCGAGGGGCGGAAAAGCAGGGTTTTGACTGAAATGGGAAGGGACAAATGATTTTGGACAACAATGGGAAGCCTTTTTTTTTTTTTGACAGGAATAGAAAAACGAGTTTAGGAAATGCGGTTGGGGTCAAAACCGCATTTCCCAAACGCGGTTGTCGTATACGCATAGCCGCGTTTGAGAAATGCGACTTTTGTATTGCATACGATAGCCGCATTTCCCAAATGCGGCTATAATATTAGAATCGCTGGCTGGCGTTTATCCGGCGACAACAACGCGTTTGGGAAATGCGAGTTTGGGAAACACATTTCCCAAACGCGATTTTGTCGTCGGCGGGCCGGCCATTTACTCACATGCAAAAACAATATTATTCAAAGTTTTGCCACTGAAATGCGCGTGTAAGTATCTGAAAGTCTATACATACATATTCATACTGTTTTCGAACTTGAGTAGAGTAAACCAAAGTTTAATTGGAATGAATGTATGTGTAATTAAGTAAACATTGCGAAATTTTATCTGTGAAGACGATACATAAGAAAATAGGAATTTGAACGTTGTTAGTTGTAGATTTAATTATTTAATCGTAATGATAACACAATATTTATGTACGAGTTATATTTCTCAATGTACATCGAATTTGGATATGCTCCTTTGTGTATGTTATTATGGTATTTACAACAGTATTGAGTGTGAGTAAATAATTCATATATATTATTTTATATATGATATTGTACATTACATTTCCAAAATTTTCAAAATACAGGGTACATCATATTTGCAGGATAAGCTATCAATGAGAAAAAAATATTTGACATTAATAACTAAGGAATTTAAACGGTGAACCTCTAGACTTCGAGTTCGAGCTCAGGTATCAGGAAAACCCGATATGGAACAAAAACTCAAGATTAAAAAGTGTACACCGCCATATATTTGGGCTGCCAATTTGTCCTTATGCATAGTCTTTCCATTTGCACTTCCCTAGGAAAAACAATGAACATGATGGGTGCAACCCAGCCCATAGGTGCAACCCGGCACAATCCTTCTCGCCCGCTGACGGACAGCCAAGGCGGCACAACGAGGGGCAGAAAAGCCTCACGCCTTTTGATTTAAAGATGTTTCAAACTTTACCACTTAGGGTTTGTTTGGAACCTGAAAAAAAAAATATTTTTCGAAAAATGATTTACAGAAAATAACTCATATTTCTGGAAAATATTTTAATTTTATAGTGTTTGGCTGAATGTCATAAAATTATATTTTTTTGTTTGGCTAAAAAGTTAAGAAATTGCATGTTTTTGTTTGGTTCATTTTCCTAAAATGAACGTATTATTTGTTATTGGTTACGTAGTATTTGTTATAATAATAATGGAAAATGGTCAAATAGGTCATTGAACTTTAGCTGAAAAATCAATTAGCCTCTTTAATTTTTTAAAGGTGCAATTACACCCATAAACAATTCAGTTTGAACCAATGAAGCCCAAAATTCGATAAATGACATGCTATCACAAGTCACTAGCGATCCAGTCACCCTCCGCCGAAATTTCAGGCAAAAAAGTGATTGGCGACCGGCGAACGGTCGCCAGTCACGGAGAAGGAGAAGGCGACCAGATCTGGGTTGCCTTCTCCGGTTGAGAAGGCGACCACTGTGGTCGCCTTCTATGTGACTGGCGACCGACACTTTTTTGCCTAAAATTATTATTATTATTATGTGATGATGGTAGTGGTGTGGTAATATCAGTGGTGGTGGTATTTGTGGCACTGGTGGTGGTGGTGTGGTAGTGGTGTTGGTGTTGGTGGTGGTGGTTTGATAATGGTGGTAGTGGTAGTGGTGGTGGTAATAATAATAGTTCGGAAACAAATTTAAAAAATAGTAGAGGGAAGTGGGATAAAAAATTTAAAAATTCTGAAAATATTTTCTCATTAAAAAATTATGATGACATTTTCTGTCAAATTGAACATTTTTTTGTTGATCATAATAATTTTTTTTTTTTTTAATTTCATTTTCCTTGAATACCAAACACTGAAAAATTCTAAAAATAACTTTCTAAAATCATTTTGTGAGTTTTCAAACGTAATATTTCCATCTGTATCTTTTATTTTCTTTGCAAAAATGAAAATGTTGTCATTTACTAAAAAGCCCTTATTAATTCAACTTAAGGAAATCCAAACAGGCCCTTAAATCACATTTTGAGAGCGCGGGAAAGGTTCCGCACTCGGCATATACTGTTATTAAGCAGGCAAGAACTTGTGTTGTTTCACCAATTCAATTTCTTAGGGTTGGGGTTCCCTGCTCAAATTCTCCACTGTAAACTCAGTTTTTCCACAGAAAAATGGTGGAATCGGAGTCGGAGGTCGCCGGGCGAATCGTTAAAATCAGCCAACGGTTTGCCTCTCACAAAGCTTGCCCCGGCAAAGACACTCTCGTCAAATTACTCAAAGTAACGCTATCTTCCTTCGCTCTTCTTATTCTACACTTTTGTATAGTATAAATACTCCGTTTCCACATTTATTCGCTTTTCCCCATTTTTTCGACGTAAATATGGAAAATTATCTGGTACCCCCATTCCGTTTCTTCCAGAGTGCCATTTGCTTGCATTTCTTTGGAAACTATTTTGATTTCTCAGTTTTTAAACCCGCATAAGCTTGTAATCGACTATAATTTTGTTTTCCACGAATGGCCTCATCCGATGGGGTTATTGAGAAGTTACTTTGGTAGTAATGGCTTATTACGAAGAGGTAGAGATTGAACTATAGTGGAATAAGTAATCTGGTTCTATTCTGACACGTTTTTGGTTTAGATGTTAGTCACTAAGTAGTGTGCTGCCTACAAGATTGGTGGGCTTCATTTGATGGTTCTGTCTGTATTTCACTAGTTTAAGAGGGTTTCTCATCTTTAGAGTGTTTTGTTTCTTTGTTGTCTGTAATAAAATATTTCTTTATAGTTCACTTCAATAAGTTCTCTTATCAGTGTGCTGTTAAGATATATTTTGACTTTGTTATGCTTCATGTTCAATTTCCTGCTGAAGTGATTGTCTCTACAACTGTGTTGAAGTTTAAGGTACTACTAGTACTACTACTACTACTGCAAGGATTGGAAGTGCAGTTTTATATTTAATAAGGAGCTTCTTATTTGTTGAGGACCAAGAGCATGTTTCAGCATCTCTTATCTTACTGGCTTCTTTTTAATATTTTGTTATGCAGTACTATCCAAGTAGAACTAGATAGTAGATAACACAGGGTAGTTTGTTTTTCCTTCACCAAGCATCTGCTTTATGTTTCAGGATATCATAAAACCCTTTAGCTTAATCTGAGTTGTTCTTGCTGCAGGAAGCTGTAGATGCTTTGGAACAGCTAGAACAGTCTGAATCATTGAAATCTATGTTGACTCCTTTAAGCAGATCTCTTGTTAGATTTGCTCTGCTAAAGCACAAGGATAGAGATGTTAGACTTCTTGTTGGTATCTGCTTCTGTGAAATTATCCGGGTCTTGGCACCAAATCCTGATTTCAGTGATGCAACTTTTAGGGTAGAGTTTGACTTTATAAAATGCACTTATACTATCCTTGTGTTATATTTTAATTTTTAACCTTCTCTATCTATTAAATTTATGGAAATTACATAATTATAATTTTGTATCCTCTCTCTGTCTATCCCTCTCTCACTCACTACCTCTCTCTTCCCTCGTGTAACCAGGATATTTTTAGACTTCTATTAAGTATTTTTGCGGAGCTTGATGATACCAAACACGCCTTCTTGGATAAAAGGGTTCAACTGTTGGAAACTGTTGCAAAGCTCCGTTTTTGTGTGATAATGCTTGATATTGGTTGTGAAGATTTAGTTCTCAAAATGTTCAAAATCTTTTTCAGCATTGTGAGGTAAGTTGTTGGTGTTATTATTATTATTATTATTATTATTATTATTATTATTATTATATTTTTTTTATTTTAAAATTTGTATTCGCTGATACTGACTCTGCAGTGTTTTATACTCCTTAAGTTATTGAAATAGTAAAACTCATGGAGAAGGTGGAATAGGTTGATCACCACGTCACTTACATAGAACAGCATATAAAACTTAGTTAGTGATTCCGTTTGAACTTTTTGATAAGGAAATCTTCAATTTATAGTGCTAACTTGTGCAACATTGTAAAATTTGTTCAATTCAGTTACTGAGAAATACATTTAATGCAATGAGTAATTGTTTGATATGAATTCTGAGTAATTTGTGTGCCATTAGAACAGGTTGATATGTTTGTTTAGAGTAAACCATGTAAAGTAGAATGCATTTTGAGATTTCAGGAAGGTTGTTAATAATATTGGGATCCAATTGGAGGGCCGTTGAACTTGGATTAATCTCTAAGGCAAATTGGTGACAAATTTAAATGGTGAGCTTGGATTTAATTGATTGTGCGCATGGATTAAATGATTAATTTAGTAGCAGACTATGGCATTTTGGGAGCTGATTATGGACTGTCCAAGCTTGGTTAAGATGTGGAAATCAAGTTAAAAAAAATCAAGAAAAAGGGCTGCATGAATTTAGAAACTAAATTAGAGTTTGAATATTTGAAATTAATTTCTCTGAAATTTCTATTCTTGTTAGTTTGTTAGCTCAATTATAGTGCATTTTGAATTGGAATTATGTTTGTTTATACTGAATTAAGCTGCTCAAAAGCCTGTAAATTGCTGAGCTTCTCTTGTATTTGATAGACCTTGGATGAATGAAATTAGTCTCAAGTTTTGCATCTTGCAAATCTGTTTTCTTTCCTTGAGTTCATGAGGAATCTTTAGACTTATCAAGTGTAATCCCACTTGTGGTGTCCAAACTCAGCTTTTATCACTTCTATAACCCAAGTGTAGTGAGCTACCTATCCAAAAAAAAAAAAAAAAAAGACTATCCAAAAGACACAAAAAACAGCCCTATTTACCCTTCACCAAATCAAACCTTCATCCACAATCAATTCATCGAAGTCTAAGCTTATCCAGAATTTTTCTTGGGGATTGAGTGAGGTATTCTTGTGCAATCTTTAGCCAGTTTTAATCACAACAATGCAAGCTGAAAGAAGATAGAACTAAGTATGCTCTTAATACATGCCATCTATTCAGATTTGAATTCTTTTGCCTTTTGAGGGCTTGCACAGTGAAAGGCAACAATTTAGGTTTTGGGAGACAGTTAGAGATCTTGTATCCCTTGTTCTTAGGAGGTAGTTATGAATTTCTCTTAAATGAATGAGAATATATGTTTATGGACTGTTTTTTTATATTTATTCTCGACACATGCTTTTAATGTTAATGTGGGGATGTAATACACAAAACTCTGCAGAATCAAAAAGTAAAAAAAATCTGTAGAAGCTCATGCCATAGTGAATTCTATCTGAAAATAAAAAATAAGGAATAGGAAAAGGGAAAGTGCCTCTGATCTTGAATAGGCACCTTGTACCTATTTCCATGTGAATTTTATGCTTTTTCTTATGGGTGTTTCTTATATATATATATAAAGTTGCCAATAAAAAATGATTTTTCTTTATGATTTATTTTTGTTTAACTTCTGTGAAGTTTGATTAGAGCTGTGGTCTAAGTGCCTACTGTTTCTTTTTCATTCCAAATGTTTTTCCCATTTGTGATTAGAATGTCTACATGCCAATCTTAAGCCTGACAAGATAAATATGCAATAATCTTCATTCAACCACAACCAGACAACCAGTAGAAGTAGGATTGCCTTCAGCTGGTCCAAGTGAGTAGAAATATTTGGGAGATGTTCATATAGTACTAGAGGAAGTTGTAGGTTCATAAAGTGAAGTTGATACATTCTACTCTTTTAAATGGTTACTAAATTGACCTTATCTTGAATCTGAGGCATTAATTAAGCTAATTCTCTCTAGGAGGTCAATGTGATATGTGTGCAACCATATACCTTAGTTTTCTTTAAATTGGAGAACTAGTGGGGATTTATTGTGCAGTTCTCTCTGATATTTCTTAAACTATAAATAGTAGCTTATGGCTAGATGGGATTAGTTCCACTGATATAAAATTACTTCCTTTTCTTGTAGGGACCACCACCCATTGAGTATGATTGATGCTATGTCATCTATAATGACAGATGTTTTGGAGGAGAAAGTGGTGGAGAACAGCTCTGAGCTGCTTTCATCTGAAGGAAAGGTATCTGAACCGCTTCTAGACGTGATCTTGCAAAATCTCCTGAAAGAAACAAAGGTCAGTATAGTAATAGAATTCATTTTAAGTTTGAGAAGGCTTAGACTAAGCTCTGATTCTACTTAGTTGCATATGACAAAGCAACACTGAAGTTATTTTCATAGATAAGCAATGTGAAAAATAGTTTCACAGTTGTGGTTCTGGTACTTGTTACATTGCTTAAATGAGCATAGAAGAGAGATTCTACTTAGTGTAGCTTTAGGTTTGGAAGTAGGAGTCAAAGATTGAGTGGGATAGAATAGAGAGTTACAAGTGAAGACACCTGAGTTAGCATTTAGCAACATTGGCTTCTACTCTATCTTAGGCCAATGGTACAGATATAAGGAAATAAATAAATGGCTTATGTTGGCTGGTTAGTATTGCGTATATAGAGTTTTAGATCATCCATATTCATTTAAAGTGAGGAATAGTACTGAAAAAATGCCCCAAGATATTGAGAACAAACAGAATTAAAGCGCCAAGCAAAATGAAGAAAAGATAATGAAATGGAGATGACGCAATAGACTTGAAAGAATAAGTTTGCTGGATTGTGAATTGTAAAAGGAGCTCTACCATCCTACTGTTTTTTAATTTTAAAGCTTTATTCTAGAAATGGACCAGAGAATAGAAACTGAGAATATATACTTTTTGATACTTCCTGGATTAGAAGAAATGAGTACTTTTTGAGAATATATTTTAGTCCTTGGTTAGGTAAATGGAAAGTCCTCTATTCAGCTAAATTATGTTTACTGATTCTTCTCCAGGATATTTCTGCTTCCAAACGGTTGGCTATTTACATCATTCAGAATTATGGTGGCAAGCTTGAGCACATTATTGCTAGGTTTTTAAGATCTTGTATACTGAACAGAGATGCTGTCGGAAGCATGGTGAAAGAATATTACCACGAGATTATATATGAAATATTCCATTGTGCTCCTCAAATGCTTATTTCTGTCATTCCTACCTTGACCAATGAATTACTGGTTAGCCATTCCATTTCTCAATTTGTTTTACCTTTGCCATATCCTTAGTTATTTGGCAAAACTAGAGCATGCTTGGCCAGGCAAATTTTTTTTCCAAATATATCTATTTGGATAAGATATTTTAAAATTGGCTTATTAAATAGGTTTCTAATATGTTTGGTTTAATCCACCTTGAAAGTTCTTTTTAGAACAAAATAGTTGTTTGGGTATATAACTGTTAAAACTGTATTTTTCAAATTAATGATGGTCAAACTGTCAAAGTTACAATAGAGACATGTATCACTGAATTAGAGCTCTTCAAATATAGGGAGACATTGGAATTTCAGAAATATCATTAATGTGACATGCCATTGTCCAAACTTTTAGAAAATAGATTTTCTAAAAAGCTTCTGTTTGAGGGTGGCTTGGAATAGGTTTTTCCTCTTATTTATTCCAACAAGTTTTTCTCAAACATTAACATTTGGCCAACTTTTAACTTATTTGTGTAGATAAGCCCCAAATAAGCTCGACATGCACATAGTGAACTTCAAATTTGAATTCATCCCCATCTGATCTTGTTTCATTCACTCCTTTCCCTTGCCCATTATTGTAAAATCTTTCTTTTTCCAGTAGTTGTTTTGGCCACTTTTGCAATTGATAATGGAATTCAATTTACAGACAGATCAAGTAGATGTTCGTATAAAAGCTTTAAACTTAATTGGGAAACTTCTTTCATTGCCCGGAAACCATGTTGCCAAAGATTATCGCTATCTCTTTATGGAGTTCTTAAACAGATTCTCTGATAAGTCAGCTGAAGTGAGACTCAATGCTCTTTCACATGCAAAAACTTTGTACATAGCCAATGAACTGGAGACTGAAATCACTGAATCCTCTCAAAGCTCCAAAACTGAAGTTCTAAGTAAGCTGCCAAAGGCCCAAAACTGAAGCATCTTGTCACTATTTCCCTTAGCATGTCTTGTTCCATCATCTCTTGATACTAAAGTTAATAATTGATTTTTAACTTTGTGGACTTGGCAGGTGCTCTCGAAGGTCGACTCTTAGACCTTGATGATGGGGTGAGGGCAAAAGCAGTGACTGTGCTGTGTGATTTGGCAAGGAATAATTTTAAATCATTCCCCTCTAAACTAATTTCTCTTATTGCAGATAGGCTGCGTGACAAAAAGGTTATATGCCAAGTCAGAACTAAATACTTTTCTAGTGCTATCTGTACTGTATTTCTTCATCTTACCTTTTCATCTGAAATTAATGTAGGTATCTGTCAGAACGAAAGCATTGAAGAAGTTGCTTGAAGTCTATCAGGAATATTGCACAAAATGCGCTCCTCATGTTTTGGATCTCAGTGACTCCCTGGAACAGATTCCTTGCAAAATTTTGATGCTTTGCTATGGAAAAGACTGTGAAGAGTTCAAGTAGGGCTAAATCACACATTACCGCTGGTCAAAGAAACATAAGGCTTACTTGTTAGATGTACTGATTGTTTTATGATTTTCAGGCCTGAAAGAGTGGAGCATTTGCTAGCTGAGGATCTATTTCCTGCTTCTCTTTCAACTAAGGAGATAACTAAGCACTGGGTCTTCATTTTCTCACTTTTTACACCTCCTCATCTGAAGGTGTTGAACATCATTTTATCTCAAAAACGAAGGTGCTGTTGGTTGGTCAATTCTGCCAATGTAATAATAGAAATCCCCATCCCTTTCTGATGTTATGTTAATTTTCAGGTTGCAAAAGGAGATACAAGACTACTTAGCTCTCCAGAACAAAGATGATGTACCATTTTGAACTTTTCAGCTACTCTTGTTACTGTTTAGTTTTATAAGAAATAAGTATTTTCTGTACTGCTTCATTTTGGCCATGAAAGGATTATTGGATTTGATAGTTCCTAAATGTTATTTTTGTTTGTTTTAAATTTTTTTTAATGGAATTGGTACCTATCAGTATCTATATTATCAGTATGATTGGCTTAGCCATCCTACTACTATGCTTTTCTTCTTAGTATTGACTCCAAAATGTAGGGGAAAAGGTGAATGAAAAAAAAAGAAAAGAAAAATAGAACTAGCAATAACTATTAGACTCCCTGCAAATTAACTAGTCACAAGTACTTGGTTGTCAAGAAGGATTTTTGCTGCATAAATTTGTCTTATCCTAGGGGTGTGTCATTATTTATTTTCAACAGATGGATATTCTTTATTTTTCAGGACCAGTGCCTGGAGGACATTGAAATGAAAATTAAGATATCAATTGTGAAAATGTCAGCATTGTTCACAGATCCTGCTAAAGCAGAAGAGTGCTTTCATAAGCTGGACAAAGTGAAAGATAAGGGAATATTTGATGCACTGGAAAAGGTGTTAACTCAAGTGGCTGGAGGAAATGCCCAGGTGATAAGGATTTTTTAATTTTATTTAATTTTTTTTTTCTTTTACCTTTGGTTCATTTGCTTTAACGAACTGTGACCATTTGCTTTCATTTTTTTTTTTTTTTTCAATTTCAACTAGGCTGTGGAAATTCTTTGCAGAGTATAGAACATTCCTTTATGGTTTCAGTATTTTCATAATCTGTTAGAAATTCTTTGCTTAGTTGTTTGACCTTAGGGTATCCCTGAAGGTGTGTTAATGTGCTAACTACTGATTCATTTTAGTCTTACAAATGTGACTATCACAATTCACAAGTCACAAATGTTATATTGATGGTCCTTGAAGTTTAGTGTTATTATGTTTCATATTTCTTTAGAGGAAAGATGTGATTTGTATGCAACTGGTTGCTATTGGGAATGGAAGTTCCTGAATTTAAGGTTTCCACTACAATAGCTTGTTTGAATGCCATGATTTTGTTTTTAATAAGTTGAACCCTGTGAATCTGTGATACTTTTGTTGCTTATCCATCTTTGTTTGGTAATTATTTATTTATTTTCTCTATGCTTTTGTCAAATGAATTGATTTTCCATAGTATTCTTTTAATTGGGTTATTCGTCAGAGTTTGATAAGAATTTTGTCCATTGGAACTCTCTTGTTTGCAGGATAATCTTTTGACAGTAATTGGAGATAGCAGTCCACATTTTGAGTTTCTGCAATTACTCTTCAAGAAGTGCTCATTTAATATATTTAATTCCCAGCACGTTCACTATATGCTAGAGCGTCTCTCACTTGACAGATTTGAGCATTTGGAGCATTCTTGTGTTCAACTCCTGTTGGTAAGACCATAAAATATATCTAATACCTTCATAGATGCTAAATTCTATTAATCAAGTTTTAAAAGTCATTCTTAACATGAATTTGACAGGACTGTTTTTTTTTTTTAATCATCAAATCATCTGCAGTAGAGTCTTTCTTTACTTAGACAATTCAGAATATTGGAAAAAGTGGTGAACAGATAAAATGATGATGGTGTTAATGTGGGTGGGGAAATGATGGTCTCATACAAACCTTAGTCTACTTCATTTTTAACACAATTATACTTTCTAGACTAGAGTTGATATGTTGGATGTTATCATGTAGATGATGAGCCTCCAAGTCGATCATACTTGTTAGAAGTGGTTGTGATGAAGTGATTGCAATCACTACTCTAATACTCTATGCTTCGATCTGAAAAAGTTTAGGTATGTGATAAAGTTGACCAAAGTGATTGCTTTGGTTAGACGTGATTGAAACAACTACCCACATCTCAAAGCGTGCCCTTTTGATGTGATGCGAGGCAATGTTAAGCTGTCAATGTTCCAAAATTAGGGTTGAAATTTAATACATTCTTCCTTTGTGCTTTGCTTCTTAGTCTTGCTTCATCAAACTCTGGAAATCTGGCCAGCAATGTTTGTCTCAACTACTAGACTTAGCGTTTAATTAAACTCTTAGGCATGCCTCCCTTCTTCTTCTTCTTCTTCCCATATTCTATGTTTTCATAAAATTTGAAGGAACAACAGAATTATATATAAGCCTTTGTTAACACAGAAGGATTGGAAAATGCATTTTCTATATATCACAAGGAAAAAGGTCCTATATATACATGAGAGAATTCCTAAATAAGATAACAAAATAAATACTGATTTCTATAACTATGGACATAATCCCTACGTTACTATATATATTACTCTTTTAGTAATAGCCTTCTTCCCATATTCTATGTTTTCATAAAAATTTGAAGAAACAACAGAAATATATAAAAGCACAAGAAGAACCTTCAACTACTATTCTAGGTTTGAACTATACCATCTAACCAAGGTTCTAAGTGTGAAAATAACACTTTAAATAGAGTCCTAACACTTTGTATTTCTTAACACTCCCCCTCAAGATGCAGCATGCATATCATATGCTCCAAGTTTGTAACAAAAGTGTTCCACCCTAGGCCTCATTGAACCCACAAATGAGGTGTAATCTCTCTAGAGGCTACTTTCTCTTTAACAAAATGACAATAAATCTCAATGTGTTTTGTTCTTTCATGGAAGATTGTTATTGGTGCTACTGGATTGTCAAAAATGTGTTTCATGTACCCCATTGTGCAAAACTTCAACTTAGTAAAAGATGCTTCAGCCAGCCAAGTTCACATGCATTTCATTGAATAAGTCTATCTGTCTATTATGTTTGATGGTTCAAATTTACCTGGTCAACTTGGCCCTGTGGAATGTTTACGTGGATGTGAGGTTGACATGTCAAAGTGATAGACCAAATTAAGGATGGGAAGAGTGTATTAATGGATGTTGTTCACTATTACATGGATACAAAGTATAAAAATTGGTATAGTAACACAGGACACAGGGAGTATTGCCTTGGGGGGGTCGGGGAGCTCCAATCTTAGTATGTAATAGTTGATATAGAATGGCTTGTACAAGGGGGTATTTATATTAGTGTTGTTCTACAAGTAACATAATGAGACCTAGTAGGTAGGTTGACACGGAGTACTCTAGTTGGCCATAGTCAGTAGTCTGTTAGGCTGCAGCCAACAGCTCATGATGACATTTTGTAGGCTTTAGATGCTACGTTGACTTCTCAAGCCCGAGCTATAGGGTTGAGGGCTAGAGGGCGTCAAGATTAGTTTGTTATCCCTAATACATCCTAAGAAGGGGGTAAATTAGGATATAAGTAAGTGTGTGCCTTTTCAAACAGTTCAACCTTTAAAGTTTAATCACAATAAACAAGAATATAAATCGTGTAGTTGGTTTTGTCTAGATGTTTGCTAATATAACAAAGTAAATAGAGTAGAGAAAAATATATAGACACAAGATTTAGAGGTTTTTTTTTTTACAAGGAGCCGAAACAGGGATGTGGAAAAAGTTGCTGGGAAATTCTGTCAGAGGAGGGCTTACGCACTGGTCATGAGGATGGAGTAACGTCGTGGCAGTCTGCATGATGCTTGAGGCGGTGATGGCCGATGGGACTTGCTGGGCAACCTTCTTCAGACACTCTAGGGACAGTTTCCAGATTCAATTTGTATGAAACACTAACTCCAAGAGAGTAATAGGAATTGGGTGAACAGACACTGTTTAGGCAACCAGAAAAATGATCTGAAAGTCAGTAATTTAGGGCCACAATCTGTGACTCCTATACCATGTTGTATAGGAGAAGAGAGAATATTCTATGTTTTCATAAAAATCTAAAGAAAAGAACACAAATATATACAAGCACAAGAAGACCCTTCAACTACTATTCTAGATGTGAACATGACACTTTAAACAAAGTCCTAACTCTTTGTACTTCTCAACAACATGAATAGGCTTTACTTTTTTCCTCTTGTGAAAGACAACTTTTTCCCTTCATCTCTCAGCCTTGCAGTACATGGCAGCCACTGTTGCTTTGACCTTTTTTTTTTTTTTTTTTTTTTTGCTTTGACATATACTCATTATGGGTTTGTCCTCAAAAGTGATATTCTTACATCCATAGGGTCATAATTATTTCATTTATTTGGGTAGTGAGTAGTAAAAGATGTGGTCACAATTATTTCATTTATTTGGGTAGTGAGTAGTAAAAGATGTGGTAAATGGAATGAGGATTCCTATGAAATTGCAATCACCATTGAATTGAACACCCTTCCATTAAGTTGAATGCAACTTCAAGTTTCCTACTTGGCATTTCAATTTTCAAGAATTCCGGTATTCATCCAGGCATCCAGCACTAGCTCTAGTATCCAAACATTATTTTATATGGCTAAACTGCACATATGGTGTTATCTGATAGGCCCTCTTTTCTTCTCTCCTTTATGCTCTTGAAACACCATTTTCAGTCTATATGGCATGCATTTTCATGGGATTATTTCTTGGCATTAGTTTTGACACATCTCATACTTCTGTTGCTTTTTCCTCCATTCTCAGACTATTGTCAATGCATTCCCTTCACTCCTGAGAGGTTTAGAAATACATTTCCGGCGTCTATTACTGGAGGGGGTGATCCCCATCAATGACCTGTTGCTTCAAATGCTGGCAAACGGAACATGCATTGGTATCAAATTAAGGTGATTTTTTTTTCCCCTTATAGCTGTTGCATTATTTTGGTAAATTCTAGCTGTAGTATGTGTAAACATAACCTGGGATGTGCATTGACTGTGTACATAACTTTTCTCTAATACTAACATTCAATTATTTTTTGTACTATATTATGAAGTTTGCATGGATGCTATTTTAGTGTAAAACCTATTTCAAATGCATTATTGATTTGAGGTACAAGAAAGTAGATTTATTTTCTTGTCTGTTAGATGTCTCACTTGTTTGTCATGTTCAGATTTTATTGTTTTCATGTTTAGACAACAAGCCTTGTGTCTGGTATGCCTTTGACAGTCATGTTCCTCTAACTAGCTCTCAATATCTCTCAATATCTCTCAATATCTCGTAGGGCTACTAACTATAATTAATCTTTTCCTTCTAATGCCTAATGCTTAAGTTTGTTTCAACCCCGTGTAATATTTGATTATAAATTTATAATTCAATCCATAATAATGTTTGTGTTGGTCTAAATATGACTTTGGTCTATGAACCTATTGTTTCTCCGTATCTCTTAGAAGTTAGAACTACTAACTCTGAATAATCTTTGCATTTAAGGTTTATGTTTTTCCAACTCTATTTAATATCTGATTGTAATTCAATTGATACTAATGTCTATATTGGTCTAAAAATGACTTCAACTTATGTTCTTAAGGACTTATGCCGATCTTTGATGAGGAACTAGAATAATTGCCTAATTATATTGGCCGCTGAGATATTTAAAGAACTGATGCAGCCTGACTCTTGATCACCACTTTTGGAGATGCATGATTGCAAGGGAGTTATGCTGAATGTTGTTTAATATAGTGACATATGTGGGGGGTTTTGTGGAATAGTGGGTTGTAGGGCTGGCCTGGTGAATGGCAAAGGGCCACCACCCCTTGTGGTATGGAAGCTCTAGGTTTCAACTTGGTAACGAGATTAACTTGATGGGTGTTAGAAGAGTTGGGTTATGGTTGAGAGAATCACTCTCAACCTTAGGATTTGAATTTTGAAATTCATGGCTTTTGCTTTCCCTTAGTTTGTATATATAGGCTATTCATCTCTTGTACAGAGTAAGATATCAATATACAAACACACAGTTACTGCATACACTTTTATCACATGGTATCAGAGCTCCGGCGAGGGTGAGAGGTGGGTTGCGATCGGAGGATGACGGCGACGCCTCGTCGTGAAATCGCGACGCCACCGGAGCTTCCACGCGCCGTCACGCGCCACCGCGAGAGTTGATCGCCGATCCACGCGCCGGCGCGTGAGGAGGTTTCCGGCGACTTTTTCCGACGCCGATGACACCGGCGTGGTCGCAGGGAGGAGCCCAGTCAGGCTGTGCAGCGCGTGAGACAGTTTGGTGAAGGGTGGTTGGAAGTGTTCTTCAAGCTTGTGTCGGCTTTGGCTCATACTGTTTCCCAGGTTCTTTTGTTTAATTTTTTCTTTATGGCGGATGCAAGAAATATTACGTGTAATATTATATCGACCCCGACCAAATTAGTTGATGTGGTGCTTGCACCAGATGGGTCTAATTTCGGAGAGTGGAGATTTTTGGTTGAAATTAATTTGGGGGGTATGGGTAAGGATAAACATTTGATTGGGACGTGTCCAACAGAGCAAACTGAGGCTCAAGAGTGGAACAGGGATGATAAAGCTTTGTTATCCCGCATAATAAATTGTATTGATAGGAAGGTCATTCTGTCTATGCAACACTGTAAAACTGTCAAGGAGGTTTGGGATTTGGTAAATAAATGGTTTAGTGGAACAAACAACTTGAGGAAGTTGTATCAATTGTCTCAGGATGTTCATCGTCCCTCCCAAAATGGACGAGACATCCGAGATTATTTTTATGATTTCAAGAGTGCGAGTGAGGCGTTGTGTACTGCTATGCCAGTCACGGATTTGGACACAGTGAAAAAGCAACGTGATCAGTTGCATGTGTTTAGCTGGATTTCGGGGTTAGATAAAGAATATGATGTGGTGAAGTCTCAGTTGCTAGGGCATAAAGAGTTAGAATCGATAGACCAAGTTTTCACTATGGTCCAGAATGCCTCAAGTACAGGTAGCGGTGTCTCGGAGAAGCAGGTTTTCGTAGCGCAAGGGGATAGTGGAGGTGTAGGTTCTGGTAATCGCGGGGGTCGATTCCCAGGACGTGGTGGTTTCGGTAGAGGACGAGGTCGAGGTCCAAGAGTTTGTTATAATTGTGGAGAGCCCGGTCATTTACGCAACCAATGTCCAAAACCTCTCCGACCACAAAGCTTTGCCAATTCTGTCTCCAAACCAGAGGGTAATGTGGTTGTAATGACAGATGAAGAGTTGGCTATGTTCAAACAGTTAAAAGTGTCCGCCTCACAACCTCTAAACAGTCAGGAAACATTACCGTCTTCTTCAGCCACATTCGTCCAAACAGGTAATCCTACTGCTTGTGTCTCGTCCTCATCCCGACAGTGGGTTATTGATTCTGGAGCCAGTGATCATATGTCAGGTAATCTGAACGTCTTTTCTGAATATTCTTCCTTTCCACCTGGTACTTCAGTTACCCTAGCGGATGGTTCATCCGCTTCAGTTTCGGGTAGAGGTAGTACCAGTGTAACCACGTCGTTGCATCTCTCTCATGTGTTATACCTTCCGAAATTTCCGTTCAATTTACTGTCGATAAGTCAAATCACTCGAAGTTTAAACTGTTGTGTTGTGTTCTTTCCTGGTTATTGTTTGTTTCAGGATCTTTTGACGAAGGCGATTATTGGTAGAGGAAAGGAAGCTGGTGGGCTGTATGTGCTGGAACAGTTCCCTCCTAGTCCTGAAGTGGCTCCTGTTAGTCTATTGGGTAGTACGTCTCTTTCTAAATTACATTGTCGGTATGGTCACCCGCCTTTATCTATTTTAAAGAAGCTGTGTTCAAACTTAGAGTCGTTGTCTGTTTTGCAATGTGAATCTTGTGAGTTTGCAAAGCATTGTCGGGTACCATATCCGCCTAGAGTTAATAAATGGGTAGAGTTTTTATTTCAGTTGGTTCATTCAGATGTATGGGGACTGTGTCGGGTTCCGTCTAAGTCCGGGTTCAAATACTTTGTAATCTTTGTGGACGATTTCTCGAGACACACTTGGTTATATCTCATGAAATCTAGGGAAGAATTGTTTGAAGTTTTTTGTAAATTCTGTTCTATGGTTAAGACTCAGTTCAATAAAATGATTCAAGTTTTGCGTAGTGATAATGGGACTGAATATTTTTCCCGTACCTTTTCCGAGTATATGAGTCAAAATGGAATAATACACCAGTCCTCTTGTGTGGGCACTCCTCAACAGAATGGTGTGGCAGAACGTAAAAACCGCCATCTGTTGGAGGTTGTCCGGGCCTTGTTGTTTCAAATGAAAGTTCCCAAAGGGTTCTGGCCGGATGCTGTCCATACAGCTTCATTCTTGATTAATCGATTACCCTCGACAGTACTCCAAGGCCAGGTTCCGTGTCACCTTGTCTATCCGTCCACTCCGTTATTTTCCCTTCCACCCAGGGTGTTTGGGTGCACTTGTTTCGTTCAGGATATCCGTCCTCACAGGGGGAAACTTGATCCTAAGTCTTTGAAGTGCATATTCTTGGGGTATTCTAGCACTCAGAAAGGGTATCGGTGTTATTCTCCTGACTTACAAAGGTACTTAATGTCTGCTGATGTGTCGTTCTTTGAGGATGTGGTGTTTAAAGAACCTCTCACCTCATCTGATTGTAATTCAGTGTCGGATGATTTCCTTACATACACTGTTACTGTTCCTTCTGTGGGTTGGGGTGAGGCAAGGCCTCCTGTTACACAGGTTTATCACCGGCGGTCAAGAGAAGTTCAAGCATTGTTAGGTCCATCAGCCAATCCTTCCTCGCCACCGTCGTCAACGGATTCCGATCTTCCAATTGCTGTTCGTAAAGGTACGCGTCGTTGTGTTCATCCCATTTCTTCAGTTGTGTCATATGTCCATCTATCCCCCTCTTCACGTGTCTTTATATCTCAGTTAGAGTCAGTTAAAGTGCCAACATCTTTGAAACAAGCTTTGGGTCATGATGGTTGGAGACAGGCTATGGGGGAAGAGATGGCTGCTCTTGAAGAGAACCAAACTTGGGATTTGGTGGATCTTCCATTCGGTAAGGCAGCTATTGGGTGTAAATGGGTTTATGTAGTGAAGATGAACCCTGATGGTTCTGTTGCCAGACTCAAAGCGCGCTTGGTGGCTAAGGGGTATGCACAGACGTATGGTATAGATTATACCGAGACTTTTTCCCCGGTGGCTAAGTTGGCTTCGGTACGTGTTTTCATATCTTTGGCTGCTACTAATCACTGGCCGTTATATCAATTGGATGTCAAAAATGCGTTTTTGCATGGTGATTTACTTGAAGAAGTTTATATGGAGCAACCACCAGGGTTTGTAGCTCAGGGGGGGTCTGGGAAGGTGTGCAAGTTAAAGAAATCTTTGTACGGTCTGAGGCATTCCCCGTGTGCGTGGTTCGGGAGGTTTAGCAGTGCAGTTATGAAATTTGGAATGCAGAGGAGTGCTTATGATCATACTGTCTTTTATAAACATACTAATCGTGGGTGTGTTTTGTTGATAGTGTACGTGGATGACATTGTGATCACAGGTAGTGATGCAGACGGGATTGGTGTTTTCAAGTCCTTCCTTGGAGCTGAGTTTCATACTAAAGATTTGGGAATACTAAAATACTTTCTGGGTATTGAGGTTGCTCGCTCAAAGAAGGGCATATTTCTCTCACAGAGAAAATATGTGATGGACCTTCTTGGTGATACTGGACTGCTTGGGTCGAAACCGTGTGATACGCCGATGGAACAAGGGGTCAAGCTTGTACCGGATGAGGGGGAGGTGTTTGAGGATCCAGAAAGGTATAGGAGACTGGTAGGGAAGTTAAACTACCTCACGATTACTCGTCCGGATATTGCGTTTCCGGTGAGTGTGGTGAGTCAGTTCATGAGTTCACCTACACGGACTCATTGGGAAGCAGCTGTTCGTATTGTGAGATATCTGAAGAGCGCACCTAGGAAGGGGGTCCTTTATGCTGATTATGGACATACAGGTGTTGAGGCATTCTCTGATGCGGATTGGGCTGGCTCGCCTAGTGACAGGAAGTCAATGACAGGATATTGTGTGTTTTTGGGAGGCAATTTAGTTTCGTGGAAGAGTAAGAAGCAAAGTGTTGTGGCGCGGTCAAGTGCAGAGTCCGAGTATAGAGCTATGACTCATGTGACCAGTGAGATAGTTTGGGTGCATAACATTTTAAAAGAGATGGGTGTAGAAGTGAAACTTCCTGTGAAGCTGTGGTGTGACAATCGTGCGGCTATTCACATTACGAGTAATCCGGTTTTTCATGAGCGGACAAAACACATTGAGGTGGATTGTCACTTTATACGAGAGAAAGTGCAACAAGGGCTGATATCTGCTGAGCATGTTCGTAGTGGTGATCAGTTAGCTGACATATTCACGAAAGGGCTAAGCGGGAGTCGAATGTCGTATATATGTAACAAACTGGGCATGTTTGATATTTATGCTCCAGCTTGAGGGGGAGTGTTAGAAGAGTTAGGTTATGGTTGAGAGAATCACTCTCAACCTTAGGATTTGAATTTTGAAATTCATGACTTTTGCTTTCCCTTAGCTTGTATATATAGGCTATTCATCTCCTGTACAGAGTAAGATATCAATATACAAACACACAGTTACTGCATACACTTTTATCACAATGGGATAGGTTATAAGATCCTAGTATTTATAGCTCAGAGAGACAGTCTAGATTTACAACTCTTATTCTACCACTGTACGTCTGTACCACATGAGATAATTAGGTGACGTTGAGTCTAGTATTTATAGCTCAGAGAGACAGTCTAGATTTACAACTCTTATTCTACCACTGTACCACATGAGATAATTAGGTGACTTTGAGTCTAGTTTTCCAACATTGCCCAGCCTGTATATAAATCATTGCAGAACTTCAAAACACTTGCCTTCAATACAGGTAATTGCACAACAGGAATAGAAAATAAAATAGATAGTAGGCTGCAATGGAAAAATGAAACTATAACAGGAGCAAAAGTTCTATAAGAGCCAACTCACAAAAGAAGATGAACCACACAATCTTCACTGTGGAGGTTGGTCCCTAAAAAAAGTGCCAAAGACATAACTGTCTGATGAAGAAAAACCCATAAAAAGAGTTTTCCAACAATAAGGAAAGTGGTTTTATTATGAAAGAAGAGCCATTAAGAAATATTAAGAATATAAATGTAGCCCTAGGTGATTGGACTTAGCCCATATTTATCTCTATATATTGTATATGCTGTACATGTACTTTTGAGAATAAGATTATATTTCAGTTCATTTATTGTAACAAGAAGAAACAACTGTAAAAGACTTCTCCAGCACACAGTTCTTTATGGTTGATAGTGTCATAAAGAAGGAAGAACCGGAAAGGATTTCTAAGAAGAATTGGGAAAGACTTCATCAAACCTAGTTCAAAATCAATAAAGGCAGCCATTGCTCAAAGAGGAAAGAACCTAGATAACACTTTCTAGGTGAAATACAGTGGAAATTTAAAATCCCTGGAGAAATAAGTTATTAGAAATCTGATACATGCTGAGGAGCTCTTATTTTATTATTGTTCAAAACTCTGTATTTCATACTATTGAACAAGAGGATACATATATTTATACTAGGCTATGCACACTAACTATGGTAAGAATCAATAATATCCCTAATATATTATACACAATATCCCTAAGATATTATACACACAATCACTGAGATCATATCAAATATACTTCTACCATATAATGTCTAACACCCCCCTCAAGTTGGAGCATAGATATTGATAATGCCCAACTTGTTACATAAGTAATCTATTCGAGGCCCATTCATAGCTTTTGTAAAAAGATCTCCTAACTGTTCTCCTGTCTTCACAAATCCAGTAGAAATTAAGCCTCGTTGTATCTTTTCACGAATGAAATGACAGTCAACTTCAATGTGCTTGGTTCGTTCATGGAAAACAGGATTGGCTGCAATATGGAGAGCCGCTTGATTGTCACACCATAGCTTCGCAGGAATAGAAGCCTTGAGCCCTATTTCATCGAGAATGTGATATATCCACAAGATTTCACAGGTTGCTTGTGCCATTGCTCTATACTCTGACTCTGCACTCGATCGTGAGACAACATTTTGCTTCTTGCTCTTCCACGAGATCAAGTTTCCACCAAAGAAGACACAAAATCCGGTTGTAGACCTCCGATTCTCCTTAGACCCTGCATAGTCTGCTTCTGCAAAGCACTCAATGTTCATATGTCCATGGTTTTGATATACAATTCCACGTCCTGGAGCACCTTTCAAGTAGTTCAGGATTTGTTCAACAGCTTTCCAATGATCAACAGTAGGAGATGCCATAAATTGACTTACAATACTTACTGAGTAAGCAATATCAGGACGAGTTACAGTCAGATAATTTAGCTTACCAACCAATCTTCTATATCTTTCTGGATCATCAAATAGCTCTCCCTCTGATGTCAACTGTGAATTAGGGATCATTGGAGTATTGCACGGCTTGGCTCCCAGTTTCCCTGTTTCTGTCAATAGATCAAGTACATATTTTCTCTGGGAGAGAAGTATACCTTTCTTACTCCGTATTACCTCAACTCCTAGAAAATATTTTAATGTACCAAGATCTTTAGTCTGAAATTGACTATGAAGAAAAGTCTTAAGAGATACAATACCAGCGGTGTCACTTCCAGTGATGACAATGTCATCCACATAGACAATTAATAAAATAATGCCTTTCTCAGAGCGTTTATAGAAGACAGAATGATTAGACTTTCCTTTTATCATGCCAAACCTCTCAATCGCTTGACTGAATTTCCCAAACCATGCACGAGGGCTTTGCTTAAGGCCATACAAAGATTTGCGAAGTCGACAAACCTTACCATACTCCCCCTGAGCAACAAACCCAGGTGGTTGCTCCATGTAGACTTCTTCTTGAAGCTCACCATGTAGAAAAGCATTTTTAATGTCCAGTTGATGTAAAGGCCAACTAATAGTTTAGATATTAATAAATTACTAAATAGTTATTTAGAAACTAATAAATAGTTATTTAGAAATTACTAAATAGTTATTTAACTTATTACTCTTAGTCTTCGAATTAGTTTAGGTAGATTAATTATTTAGAAACTACCAAATAGTTATTCTTAGTTTAGGAAGCATTGTAATCAACCCTATAAAAGGGGGTATTATTTGGAATAATATGTTAAGCAGAAATTTAATCCCAAAAGGGTTTAAGGGAGTTTTGGGTCTCAAGCAAACCCAATGTCTTCCTCTCTTCTTTTCCTTTTCCAACTATTATTCTTTCTTCCTTTTTCCCTATGTTTTCTTGCCCATGACAGGAGCACATAACAAAATCCCATGAGAAAGTATGCCCCACAGTTCCACAAAGATGCGTCAAAAATCTCATACTCTCCCCCACTCACTCACTCAGAACTTCATAAGACTAGTGTTTTGTGTCAAACATCATTAATGGGTTAATGCCTGAAACTTTTAAAGGACTGGCTGTCTGATTTACAGGGAATTATCAAGTTCTTACAGCTAATATAGTAAATATAGTACTCCGTAATATTTCCTTTCTCTTTATTCTATTACTTCAAACTTTCAAAGGACTCTTTATCTTCACAAATTGTATCTTTTGCTTTGCAATTTGCATAAATGTCTGATATAGCTCTGTGGTAAAATTTCTTGTCTTAGATTTCTCTATCAGCTTCACTTTTACTGGCTTATTTTGTTTGGTTGAATCTCAGCCACAACCTTGATGCACCTTTCCCTCTTCTGTTCCTATAAATTCTGGAGGACAACTTTGTGAAGTTGTACCATGTAGTCTTGCTTCTTTTGCTTAGGAGAATACTTGATGTTTCGTAGTTTTGGTTTGAGAGAAGTCTGTGGCTTCTTGTATTCTATTTTTTTTTTTTTCCTGCTTTTTGGCTTCTTGTATTCTGCTTGTTTTGCTTTATAACTGCTTTGTTTTGCTTCTGAATAATTGTTTTGCTTACATTGTGTATATACAGTGATATTTATTCTTCCCTGGAGAGGATATGCTTGGAGGGTAGTCGCACTCAATCTAAACTTGCTTGTTCTGCAATTGCTGCACTGCTTGGTCCTTCAGATCAATTCCTTTTTCCAGATTTGTGCAAGGTGTAGAAGTCATATTCACTTAATTATTAAATTTGTTTGTATATCTTTTTCCTTGCAAATAATTTTTATGATCTAAGATTATATTCTGTCATAACCTTGTTAAGAGTTGTATCCAAGCAGAAAGCATACTAATGCCAAATTTTCTGTATACAAATGCCTTTGTTTTGCCACTTTTATAAGTTCATATCTTACTTCACATGGTTGTTTCAATATTGATGTAAGACAGACATGACATATTGAAGTAGGAGTGTAGGACTAAACAAAAAGAGAAGTTACATCTGCATTTTACAGAATAGTTGCTTACCCCTTTTATGTCATTCTTTACAAACACTATGCTTGGACATTACCAATTCTTGTCTAGACGTTCAGTATGTAAGGTCACATTTTTTTTTAATATTCTTTTTTTTTTTAATATTAATTTGTTCAGAAACTTGTGGATTCTCTACGTATGGGGCAGCAGATTCAAACTGTTTTGCAGTCTTTGGGCTGTTTGGCACAGCATTCCGTTGTAGCATTTGAAGCACATGAGCAGGAGGTTACTCATTTTATCACCAAGGAGATATTCCAATCAAAGGATGTGAGTTCTAAATTTCTGATAGAACTCAGCCCCCCACCCACCCCCACCCCTCCCCAATAGAAACATTAGTAGGAGAATAGTAGAAACTGTCTTTAAATATCTACTCTGGGATTCTTTTTCTTGTTTTCCCGCATCATGGCAGATAAAACTTCTTTGTAGGCTGGCTCATCAGAAGATCAGGCTTTGCTAGAGAACTCTTCAAATTGCAGCAGTTATTGCAAATTGAAGGTACACCTCACTGAGCTCCATCTTTAGTTTTAAGAGTTTCTATACGCTCTTTTGAAAAAGAGTCTACTATTTAGCCTTCAATTTATTTGTTCATTTATGAAGTGTCACATCTATTTCCAGCATCAAAATGTGAAGTCATATTTGATTGTAGTCTCCGCTCTACAGTTGACATTCTCATATTAACCCACCCCATTTATTCTATTTAACTAAGAGTGTATTTCTTTAACTTGGATTTTTTTTAAAAGAAAATTATCATGGATAGATATTGTTGGTGGAACCTTTCAAGATATGTTAATTGGGAAAAAAAAAATTTACAGACATGTGATTTTAGACATGCTCCAAAATGTGTTAAGTCCATTTACAAAATGAAATATCTCGTCCCATTTTGAAATTGCAACATGACATTACATTTGGGAAATGCAATTGTGGTAATTACTACAAAATGTGAGTGAAATTCAAATTACATGATCCATGAATTCTACAATGGTGGGACGAGTAAGAGGAATAGAAGCATGTAAAAGTGGGGCCCTTAAATAATGCCTATTGTGGAAGTTTCAAGGAAGGTGGTGATGCCTGCCAGTGGTGTGCTTTTAGTTTCATTTTAACTGTAGTTTTCACACCTTTTTATTTATTTATTTATTTATTTACTTTTTACAACATTATCATTTTTTGTCTGGTCCTTCTAGTTGAGTTTAATTTCATTTCTTCTTTTCTTATTTATAGGTTTTCTACCTGAAGGTTATCATTAATAAGTAAACTGGGATTAAATGAATTTAATGAATATATATGATAGAATAATTGTATAAAATGCATGCTTATGCATTCATCCAATCAATATCAACTACCCTCTCTGTACCACTTTGATTGTTGTTTTTGTTTTGTAGGTCAATTTCCAAATTTCAACTTGTTTTTGATATTGATATATTCAAAGAGTCTTACTTCTAATATGAAAGAACATTAATAGGTACGACATGCCTTAAAAATCAAAAGCTCAATTAACCACACAAATATACAATATTGGTCAAACACAGGCAATTACCCATCACAAAGTGAAAGGTGTCAAACAGAATGGAGTAAGGAGAAGAGTTAATTATCTTATCACTTGGGCTGTATTTTTCCCATTACAATCATGGAGATCCAACTTGTACAGTTAGTAGTTAGCTATGAGACTACCAGGCTTTGTAAGTGAGTTTATAGTCATAACTCTGATCCCCAACCACACCACTAATTACAGTTAGGACAGATTTGTAAAATGTGGTGAAGTGTTGGATTTTGTAATAATGATGCAATATCACACTTTGTAAAGTAGAGAAGGTTTCTTAGTTGCAAATGCATTTAATAAATTTACTCAGAATCATCTGCATTTTGGCAATTAGTCTTCCTTGTTATCCTATTTTGGAAATTGTTTTTGAGATTCTTAGCTGCTGCTCTTCATAGATGATGTTTTAGCTTCGTTAGGTCAAATTGGACTAGTACAAGAAAATAATATTATGAGTAAGGGCTTCCTAGAATAGCATAAATTGAATAGTGTCACTCAGGTAATAAGTTACATATGCATTAATGCTATATGGTGAGTCAAGCTTCTGCTTACTGGGCAATGTTTGGATGGGCAACAAGGGGATGCATAACCTGTCTATGCTGTAGAAGTTTCAATTCACCAATAAGCCAGACAACAAAAATTTTACATAACCATTTACCTAGAAGACTCAATTTCTGTTGATATATTATCTCTAGAGCATCCTTCCTGCAAATGCCTTAATTACAGTCATGATCTTTTGTAGAGGACTGGTGATTTGTGGATCTCCTCCTATCTATATGAGCATATTACACATTGACATTTGCAGATTTTTGGGCTTCAAATGCTGGTGAGGAGCTTTTTGCCACACAAACACACACACATTAGTCGTCCTATCAGTTTTTTGCTAGATATTATCCTACATATGCTTCAGAAGGGTGCCTTCCCTCAGAGTATGATCTCAAGGTAAGAGTTTGTTATGAAGCAAACTTTTAAGAATTTAGCATTTTGTTGTGTATACATCCTTTATCTCTATTATTTATGACTATTAGTTAGAACAGGAAATAGAGGGAGGTCCACATGCTGTCCTAAATTTTCTGCTTGGAGAAAAATGTAATTAAGAATTGGATTATTAAAACTGACTTGATCTTTGCATTAATTATGGTCCAAGTAACATCGCATGGATGTAGAGGATGGTTGACACCGGTTGCTGACTTGCTGGAGGGTAGAAGTTATACAAATGTAGCAAACTATAATATTTAACAGACTAATAACTGGAAAAGCTTAACCTTTGACTACTCTCTCTCTCTCTCCCTAATACTGAAACTCTTAAGCCCTCTTATTGTATAGGCGTATAGCACATGTAATATTCATTCCTCATTGTTTTTCAGTTTTTTCTTTTTTATTATATTGCTATATTCATTTTTCTTTTCCTTTTTTTTTTTTTTTTTTTTTTGGTGTGCTGCTAAAATATGTTGGCACCATGCTGCTTAAGATGATTGGCAATTATCTCAATAATTGCGATTTTCCCCATAGAAGTGGCTAAATTTCACCTGCCCTTTTTTTTTTTTTTTTTTTTTTTTTTTTTTTTTTTTTTTTTTTTATCCACCTTAAAGTGAGCTACATCTGTGCCTATATTGTTTACTCACAAAGTCACAAGTTTATCTTGCCCATATTTGACCAAGCCCACCCATGGTTAATAGTGTCTAAACAGGAATTCAGAATTCATGTTGGGCATATTATCTGTGTATACTGTATATAGTTAATAGTTTACCCTTTTATCTTTTATCATTGGTTGGGTTTGCTGGGTAGTGCATTTTTTTTCCAAATCATTTGAGAGATTGGTGGCTTAGCACATATTAAACCTGTTGAGAAAGATGTAGAAGAGTTGTTTTATTACTTGCTTGTCTCAATGAGGAGACAACAGATAAATATATACAGACTAAGAGACACAATCCTAATAGACACAACCCTACACAACTTCAATAGCTATATTTCTACAGACACATCTTTTGTGTTTCAACACTTCCCCTCAAGCTGGAGCATGTATATCATATGCACCAAGCTTGTTACAAATGTATTCAATCCTATGACTATTAAAGCTTTAGTAAATATATCAGCTAATTGATTATTTGAGCCTATAAAAGATGTAGTAATATCTCCAGAAGTAACTTTGTCTCGAACAAAATGGTAATCAATTTCAATGTGTTTCGTCCTTTCATGAAAAACTGGATTTGATGCAATATGCAAAGCTGCTTGGTTATCACAAATGAGCTTCATGGACTCCTTTGTACAAATCTGCAGTTCGGTAAGGAGGTTTTTCAACCACACAGTTCACATGTTTCAACGGCCATAGATCGATATTCGGCTTCTGCACTTGATCGAGCAACAACATTTTGCTTTTTACTTTTCCAAGAGATTAAGTTGCCACCAAGAAAGATACAATATCCAGATGTTGATTTTCTATCCCATGCACCTGCCCAATCTACATCTGTGTACCCAATAATTTCAAGGTTTCCATGGTCTTTGTATAACAAACCAGTGCCTGGAGATTTTTTAATATATCGTAAAATCCGAATGGCAGCTTCCCAATGACTTTCACGTGGAGATGCCAAGAACTGACTAACAACACTTACCGCAAAACAGATATCAGGTCGAGTTACAGTTAAATAAAGTAATCTTCTAACCAATCGTCTATATTTTCCCGGATCTTGGATAAGCTCCCCCTGGTCTGGTAGGAGTTTGATATTTGGATCCATAGGAGTGTCAAGAGGTTTGCAATTCATCATACCTGTGTCTTCTAGTATATCCAATGCATACTTTCTTTGTGATATGCAAATTCCTTGCTTGGATTGTGCTACTTCAATTCCCAAAAAGTATTTTAACTTCCCCAGATCTTTTGTTTCAAAATGTTGGAATAGATGTTGTTTCAACAATTGTATTCCTTCAACATCATCTCCTGTAATGACAATATCATCAACATATACAACAAGATAAATGCTCTTACCATGTTGATGTCTATAAAAGACGGAATAGTCAACTTTGCTTCGATTTAAACCAAAATTTTGCACTACTATGCTGAACCGTCCAAACCAGGCACGAGGAGATTGTTTTAGACCATAGAGAGAACGTTTGAGCTTACAAACCAAGTTACTCTCCCCCTGAGCAACAAACCCAGGAGGTTGCTCCATGTAGACTTCTTCCTCTAAATCTCCATGCAGAAAGACATTTTTAATATCTAACTGATGCAAGGGCCAATGATGAACGACAGCCATAGAAAGAATGATTCTGACCGAAGCAATTTTAGCTACTGGTGAAAAGGTGTCAGTGTAATCAATCCCAAAAACCTGTGTATATCCTTTGGCTACGAGTCGAGCTTTAAGTCTATCAACCTGTTCATTGGGCCCAACTTTCACAGTATAGATCCATCGACAACCAACAGTTGTTTTACCTTCGGGTAATGGAACTAAATCCCAAGTTCCCGATGAATGAAGAGCAGCCATTTCATCAATCATAGCATGACGCCAACCAGGGTGGGAAAGGGCTTCTTTAACAGATTTAGGGGTAGAAACAGAAGATAAACATGTGATAAAAGCATTATATGAAGGTGAGAGACGATCATATGAAATAAAGTTGTATATGGGAAAGGGATTTCGTGATGACCTGTTACCTACACGACTTGCGATAGGAGAGCTTGTTGCTAGAACCAGGTTCGAGGGCATAGATAGCCCGAGAGATGAATCAGTTGGGATTTCATCGATTGGAACTGTCGCGGGTGGTCGAGAGCGGCGATGATAAGTGTAAGGAAAGGGGGTAACACTGTTGTTTTGTAAAGGAGGTTCAGTAGGTGAGGGATTAGGATTTCTAGGTGATGACGGATCTTGAGGTAAATGCACCTCGGTCCCTCCTTGAAAAGTAGGAACAGGAAGAACATCAGGAAAATGAGAGATGGAGGTCGGTAAACTAGACGAAAAGAAAGGTGTTGATTCAAAGAAAGTAACATCAGAAGATACATAAAATCAATGCTTATCAGGGGAATAACATCTGAAACTCTTTTGCAACCTAGAGTACCCAACAAACATGCATTTTAAGGATTTTGGGGAAAATTTATCACGCCCTGGGATAGTGTCCCGGACAAAACAGGTGCACCCAAAAATTTTTAAAGGAAGAGTATGAAGGGGCTTATCGGGAAATAAAATATTATAAGTTATCTTACCATGTAAAACAGATGAAGGCATACGATTTATTAAATAACAGGAATGAATGATAGCATCTGCCCAGAATTCTGGAGGGACTTTATAATGGAGAATCATGATGCGGGCTGTTTCAACGAGATGCCGGTTTTTACGTTCAGATACCCCATTTTGTTGTGGAGTATCAGGACAAGATGACTCATGGAGGATGCCCGCTGAATCAAGAAAGTTAGATAAAGGAGTTGTAAAGTATTCTCCAGCATTATCACTTCGTAAAGTTTTAATAGACACTCCAAACTGATTTTTTATCTCATTAACAAATTTTTGAAGAACATTAAGTACTTCAGAACGGTTTTGCATTAAAAAGACCCATGTATAACGAGAAAAATCATCAGTGAAGGTAACAAAGTATCTAAAACCAAGAATTGAATTATAACGAAAAGGTCCCAAACATCAGTATGAACTAAGGAAAAAGGGAAAGCAGCTCTTTTATTAACACGATTAGGAAATGATGTTCTAGAATGTTTGCCAAGCTGACAGGCTTCACACTCTAGGGTAGATAAGTGAGACAAACTAGGGACAAGTCGCCTTAATTTATTAATGCTAGGATGTCCTAGTCGGTCATGGGCAAGGGAAGGAGGAATGGTAGCAGTGCAAACTGTAGAAGGTTTTCGGGTAGATAATCGATAAAGTCTTTCTGATTCATACCCCGAGCCAATCATCTTCCCCGAACGACGGTCCTGCATAATGACAGAATCAGAAGAAAAAGTGACCGTATAGTCCAAAGATTTTGTAAGTTGATGAACATAAATTAAATTGAAAGGACAATTAGGTATATAAAGAATTGAAGAGAGGCAAAGTAGGAAGGGGGGAAGCCTTTCCAATTGCAGTAGCCGTACTCTTGGACCCATTACCGAAAACAATAGATGGAAGGGACTTAGACTTGGTGAAATGAGAAAATAAGGATGAGTTACCAGAGATATGCTCAGAGGCACCTGAATCGATAACCCATGGTCCGCTCAGGCTAGGTTGTGATACAAGGGCAGTATGAGTTCCTTCAGTGTAGGTGGTAGGAATGACACCAGAAACTTTGGAATTGGCTTTAAATTGAGCAAACTCCTCATACTCAGCAGCGGAAATGGTTCGAGAATGTAATTCTCCGGATTGAGATTGAGCAACACTTGCTTGGGTACGTACCGGTCTCCAATGAAGTTTCCAACACTGATCCCGTGTGTGTCCAGTTCTGTTACAATAAGTACAAACTCTTGTGCTTTTCTGTCCACCACGATCGTTAGTTCGTCCACGACCTCCTTGTGTGACTAGAGCAGACTGTTCGGTAGTGGATGTGTGAGGAACTGGAATGGAGGTTACCTGCAAGAGACGTTTGAACAACTCGGTGGTCCCTGGGACAGTGTTGCTTCCAAGAACTTGATTCCGGATGCCTTCAAACTCAGGACCTAATTTTGTTAAGAGAAGTATTACAAAGAATTTGTCTCGTTGGGTAAGTTGCTCTGCGGGTGTACCACCAATAGGCATGAGTGTACCAAACTTAGTGATCAAACTTTGGGCTTTGCCAAGAAAAGTTTCCATATCAATACCATCTTTCTTCAGGTTAACTAAATTGTCAACAACATTGTAAAACTGAGAGACATCATTAGTGTATAGAGATTGAGCTTGATTCCATACCTCGACACATGTCTTAAAGGGTCGGAATAGAGGCAACAAATGTGGAGAAAGAGACTGCCAAAGGAGACTACAAAGTTGAGCATTTAACCTTTGCCAAACTGTCTTATCTTTTTCCGGTATCTTATCCACTCCCTTTTGTAAGTGGTCAACAACACCTTGGCCCATAAACCATAACTCTACGGCATCCGACCAAGAGTGGTAATTTTGAGAACCACATTATTTTTCCGAAGTGATCACCGAGCTTCCAGACAAATTAGGCACATAAATAGAGCTCGAAAGAGTAGGCAGATTACTGGCAGGAATGGCAGGAAAAACAGTACCCGAATTATCAGAATTTTCGTCGGAAGACATTGCGACCAAAAATAAATCTGATTGCACGGAAGAATGGGCAAGGGTCGCCGGAGGATGGGTAAGAGATTTGTAGTACTAATTTGAGAAAAAAACTCACCAATAGCAAGTAATCTGAAAGACTAGTTTCGGATGAACAGTAACTTTTACTGTTCAACGAAAAAAATATCAAAATTTGATTTTGGCTCTTGATACCATGTTGAGAAAGATGTAGAAGAGTTGTTTTATTACTTGCTTGTCTCAATGAGGAGACAATAGATAAATATATACAGACTAAGAGACACAATCCTAATAGACACAACCCTACACAACTTCAACAGCTATATTTCTACAGACACATCTTTTGTGTTTCAACAAAACCAACCTGCATTTTGGTTTAGACTTTTCTAGAAAAATTTTATTGCTCTGCCGAGATTATAAAAGTAGGTAGCATACAGATACTTCCGGTATGGAACACCAAAGTTATAAATTCTCAATGGCTTATACATTCTTTTAATTTTGCCATTACATGCCAAAGCATGAACATAAAAGTTGTGTGTTTGTTTTAATTCTTTTGTCTATACAGGACACCATTATGTGCTGTAATTGGAACTCTGTTTTATGATTAAATTTTACTTTTGAGATTGTTGGCTAACATGATATTTGTTTACCGTGTAGTGATTTCTGCAACTTTTCTTCTATGCTAAGATAATCTTAGTGTGCTGCTTTACTCAGAAATGTGAATGCCTTATTCCGTTTTGCAATGGTTCTGATATCTCATAAATCTACATCTTGTAGTGATTCTGATAGCGCTCATTATAGATTGGCTGCTGCAAAGTCTGTTCTTCGGCTTTCAAGGAGGTGGGATTTGCATATTTCACCTGAGATTTTCCGCCTTACAGTTTTGATGGCTAAGGTAGATATTCTACTCCTAATAACCTTAAATAGCTCATGACACCTAACTATTTATGTAGTTGGTGAGTTATATTTTTGCTAGCAATCTTATTACTCTTTCTCCAGAACCTGTTTTTAACATAGTGAGGTCATATGGAGTTTCTGGTTTCATGGTTTTGTTAGCCACCAAGTCATTGGTTGTGGCAGCAAAAACAATGTTGTGTCACTGTCTTATAGTGCCCTTACAAGAAAATACATAAAATGAACGACTTTGATCAATGCTTGAAAATTTATTTATTTTTCATTAATATGCTGCAAATATTTCGTCAAAGTATGCGCGCGCGCACACACACACAGCCGATGTGAGAGATTTACTATTTTACTGATGTCTGCTTGTTGGTAAATGGAGTTGGCAAAGCTAATAGCAATGAATCTGGATCAGATCTTATCTTTTGATGAAATGTGACAACCAACTTCTATGTGCTTGGTCTTCTCATGAAATACTTTATTCGAGGTGATATGCAATGCTACTAGATTATCAGAAATCAACTTGTGTTACTATGCCATATTTTAGTTCCTAGAGCAATTGCTTTAGATGAACTCAGCAAATAGATTGGCACTACTGTAACTCATGTCATGAACAAAGCAAGTGCACTGAAAAGCACATAGTGGAAGAGGGTAGGGACGAGTGATGTAGGTTTTGGCTGTGGTGTCCTAGTCACAGGGTTGTGGTGAGGTTTTGGACATGGTGGTGTGGTAGGTTTCCCAAAAAGACATTGAGAAGAGAGTGGATCAGATCTGTAGTGGTGGAAGAGAAAAAGTGTTCTAGTGGGTAAAGCGAGAAAAAGGCTAGTGTTTTCTCCAACATGGCTTTGACTTCATGTTAAGCTAGTGAGGGAAGAGAAAACTCATAGTTTAGGATAATTTGTTGTGGGAGTCCGGATTCTCTATATTGAAATTGGTAGTAGTAATGTACATTATACAGGGCTAAGTCTAGGGCTACAATAATGGCCTAATTTACAGGCTGTTAATACTCAACTAACATATTGCATGCATAATTCTGACAATTACAAATGCTTGGTTTTGATTATTGTTTGTTGATTGTGCTTGTTTGCTTTCTTTCAGTATTTAAGCTTTGTATGGAACCCAATTTGGATAACTGTTTCCTCTTGTTGTGAAAAAGCCTATTTAAGGTGGTCTGAGGTCTAGTTGATCATTTGCTTCACTGTTTACTTTGCTTTTCAGAATTTTTCCCTCATTGATTCCTTTTTATATTAATTCAGCCTAAATTGATGATTCACCGCCATGTATGTATTGCTATTTTTTGAGTTTCTTGGTTTTGCATTCTGCTTGATATTTAATGGTCCAAACTCCAAACTAGTAATTCTAATGTTTTTTACTTATTTTAGGATAATTCTCCTTTTATACGTGAACACTTTGTAAATAAAGTGCAAAAGCTTTTGAGGGTGCATAAAATACCTTGCAGATATGCTTGTGCTTTGTCATTTGCTGCATCAGACTCTCCAGAACATCTGAGTGATATTGTAAGTTATGCTTTCTTGGGTATACCTACATGGCTATATTTTATTTGCTGCTGTCTGCTGATTTGGTCTTTAAATTAGTCGATGAAAAATTTGGAGGAATTTATAAAGGACTATAGCGATACAGCTAGAGTGCACCAAACTTCAGTAATGCCCAGAAAAGTGACAGATTCTCCTGTTTACACTGTCATTTTCTTGATCCATGTTCTTGCCCATGACACAAGTTTTCCCCCATTTGAAAGTCAAGATGAAGAGGTTTACGCTCAGTTTTTTAGGTAAATGTGCTTTCTGTTTGATTATTTGTGGCTTCGAATATGTGTACTGATTAATGTGTCTAATTTGATATTAGACAGCAATTTGCTCCTTCTCCACTCTTTTAAAACTTACACCATTTGGGCCAGGCCACTTATTCTTACACTCAAGGCATTGGTTGATGTTAATTGCTTGGATCGGGATATGGATTCTATCACTCATGATGTTTCATACTTAAGAAATCTTTTTCATGCAATCAAAAAGGCAGAGGATGCTATTGATGACCATATGACTCATGTAAGTGGTGCTTTCTAAAATTATTGTCCTATGTTGCATGTACTTCTTAACAGTAAATATTTTGGCATATTGCAGAAGCTTCATATTTTAGCAGATATTGGAATTTCTTTTTTGAATTCATTGGCTAACAGCAGTTCCTCTTCAACTCATACTCCTGGACTTATTCTACTGCCATCGTCACTGTACAAAATTAGTTCTGGTTACAAATGCCAGGTAAGTTTCAGTTCTTCCTTCAGTGCCTAGTGTGTGCTGTACATAAATCTTTCTCTTTAGTCCTTTCTTCTTTTACAGGGAGGTGGTAATTCTTTGAAGTACTGCCAACTTGATAAATCCTTCACCAATAAATTTCTTCAGCATATCATAAGTTCATCTTGGGTACTGACACTGTTCTCATTGCTGATTCTCAGTAGTTTGTTTTGGGAGTCTAGTATTGATTTTTAATCCAATCTTTTTCAGACAGCTAGAAATATTGGTAAAAGTTACTCAAAAAGTCAAGCAGATTCATTGCGTACACATGCAACTAAAAGATTGAAATCAGAATCAGCATTTTGCAAGAAAGGCTATATCCCACTCACTACAACTAGAGAGCAGTGTCATAATCCACATTCAGATCAAAAGGAGCCAAATGAAACCCTGCCACACCTCACTGGTAGAGGAAAGGAAAATGAACCTATGTTATCAATTTCTGCTCCTGTTGAAAGGGGTGAACAGAGAAACTCTGGAGAAGTGATCAGAAATGAACTTCTTCCATCTACCAATCATGTTATGGTAGGATCCATGTTCAGTCAGAAGGGTGAGCATTTATTTTCCTTAAAAGAAATCGGTACAGTCACAAGATGTAACAGTACTGCTGAACAAATTAAATCATCAAAACGGACTACGTCAAATGATCATGTCTCCCAGGTTGTCTCTATGACCATAATGCTTAGTTTGTACTTGTAATGTTACTTATCCCTTTGCTCTAACTCGTAAAATATGTAGGATATCCAAAATCAAGGTGAAACATTAATTGGGCATCATACAGAACTGTCTTCTGTTGACAGACGGTGAGCACCTACTTCAAGAATGTATTTTATTACCTTTGTGGCTTTGTGTCTTCCCATGTAACACAATTATCTTTGATTCATCAGTTCTTGTTCAGGATTAGTGGAAGGTTTTGATTCCTGCAATAGTGCAGACAAGGTGAGTTAGTTCCATCTGTCATTGGACTCACTTCCATTCTTCCCCAGCCCCTAAGCCTGCATTCTATTGTTCAAAGATTCATTGCGATAGAAAATTCTTATTTTACCTGTATACTGCTCAAATTCTGTAACCTACTGCGATCCATATCCTACTTAATATTTGATGTTTTAGGTGGTTAAATCTGTTGAGAAATACTAATGGTTGGACGGTTATCATCTAATCATCCATTGATATTTATGTGTTGTACTCATTTGTTTTTGTTAGTAGGTTGTTAGAGGAAATCTCCTAACTACTCATTTGAATTTTGAAATAACTGGTTAGGAGTTTCCCTTTAGCTTGTATTTAAGCGTAGGCTGCCTGTTCTCAATATTCATTGAGTATTCATTATCGCAATACATATATACACTTCACTTGAGAGTTCAACATGGTATCAGAGCGGTAGATGTGGGTGGTGGGCTTTGATCGGAACGAGGAGGCGCCGCCGCCGGGAGGAACGGAGCAGTCATCGGAGGGTCCACGCGCCGCCGCACTTTCGGAGCTCCGACGCCACGCGTCGGCGCGTGCGGTGTTTCCCGACCTCGCCTCCGGTCGCCGCCGACGCGGCTAGCTCCGCCTCAGTCTGCCCGACGCGTCTGTGTCAATACCCCCGTCCGGTGTTGAGGGGTTCTGCGTGGGCTGTGTTTCCAGAACTGGTTCTGCGTGTGGTTGTGCTGCCAGGGTGCTGCGTGGACTGGGTTTTGGCATAAAATTGAAGTCTACATCTCCAGGTTGGTTTTGTGTGTTTATTATGGCAGAAAATAGGACTATTACTGTGGTGTCAACTCAATCTAAATTGGTTGATTTGGTGTTGGCACCGGATGGGTCCAATTTTGGGGAATGGAAATTTTTAGTTGAAGTAAATTTGAAGGGTATGGGTAAAGCTGGACATTTAATTGAGACATGTCCGGATGACCCTACCGAAGCCCAAGCGTGGCAGAAAGATGATGACGCATTGTTTTCGCGTATAATAAATTGTATTGATAGGAAGATAATCCTATCTTTACAGCACTGTAAGAGTGCGAAGGAAGTGTGAGAGTTAGTGAATCAGTGGTTTAGCGGGGCAAGTAATTTAAGGAAGTTATATCAGTTCTCCCAGGATGTTCATCGACCGTCTCAAAAAGGGCGGGACATCAGGGATTACTATTATGACTCCAAGAATGTAAGTGAGGCGTTGTGTGCTGCTATGCCAATTACTGATAAAGTGGATAAAATGAAAAAACAACGTGATCAGTTGCATATTTTTAGTTGGATTTCTGGGTTAGATAAAGAGTATGATGTTTTGAAATCACAATTATTGGGGAATAAGGAATTAGACTCGCTCGACCAAGTTTTCTCTATGGTTCAAAATGCGTCAGTGAATCTTGGTACTGATAGTACGTTGGAGAAACAAGTGTTTTTCTCACAAGGAGATAGTGGGACTGATAGTCGAGGAGGTCGGTCCAGGGGACAAGGTAGAGGGCGCGGAGGAGGTCGGGGGCAAAGGGCTTGCTATAATTGTGGTGATCCCGGTCATCTGCGTAACCAATGCCCACAACTCTTCGACCATAGGAGATTTGCTAATTCTGCTTCTAAACCAGAAGGGACGGTTATGATAACTGAAGAAGAGATGGCTTTGTTTAATCAGTTAAAGTTGTCTTCCTCGCAGTCTCCCGCTGGTCCAGGGTCATTGCCGTCTCCGTCAGCTACCTTTGTTCAAACAGGTAATCCTATTGCTTGTGTTTCCTCCTCGTCTCGACAGTGGGTCATTGATTCTGGAGCCAGTGACCACATGTCAGGTAATCTAAGTATGTTTTCCGAATATTGTTTCCTTAAATATGGTCCTACGGTTACCTTGGCAGATGGTTCATCCACCTCTGTTTTAGGTAAAGGTAGTGTGAATGTTAGTTCGTCGTTGCCTCTCACTTCTGTGTTATATCTCCCAAAATTTCCATTCAATTTATTGTCAATTAGTCAAATTACCCGGGACCTAAATTGTTGTGTTATGTTCTTCCCTGGATATTGTATGTTTCAGGATCTGTTGACGAAGACGATTATTGGTAAAGGGAAGGAGGTCGGTGGGCTGTACGTGTTAGAATGGCTGTCCAAAGATTCTGGAGGTGTTCCGGTTGGTTTATTGGGAAATATGTCCCCGTTGCAGTTGCACTCCCGGTATGGTCATCCGCCTTTGTCTGTCTTAAAGAAGTTGTGTTCGGGGTTAGAATCTCTATCTGGCTTGCAATGTGAGTCATGCGAGCTTGCTAAGCATTGTCGGGTGCCATACCTTCCTAGAGTCGATAATAGAGTTGAGTCTTTATTTCAGTTAGTTCACTCAGATATATGGGGGCCATGTCGAGTAGTATCAAAGTCTGGGTTTAAATATTTTGTAATTTTTGTAGATGATTTCTCTAGACACACTTGGCTATACCTCATGAAGTCCAGAGATGAGTTGTTTGGGATCTTTTGTAATTTCTGTGCGATGGTCAAAACTCAGTTCAATAAAATGATACAGGTTTTGCGGAGTGATAATGAGACTGAGTATTTTTCTCGTTCCTTCTCGAGTTATATGAGTCAGAATGGGATGGTACATCAGTCGTCTTGTGTCAGCACTCCCCAACAGAATGGTGTGGAAGAACGCAAGAACTGCCATCTGTTGGAGGTGGCTAGGGCGTTGTTGTTTCAAATGAAAGTCCCTAGGGTTTACTGGGCAGATGCAGTTCATACAGCGTGTTTCTTAATAAACCGCCTACCTACAAGGGTCCTTGGGGGTCAGAGTCCTTGTCATTTCGTCTATTCGTCCAAACCGTTGTTCTGCCTTCCTCCTAAAGTGTTTGGGTGTACGTGTTTTGTGCAGGATGTTCGTCCTCAAAGAGGGAAACTCGATCCTAAGTCATTAAAATGTATTTTCCTGGGATATTCAAGTACTCAAAAAGGGTATCGGTGTTACTCCCCGGATTTGGGGCGATACTTGGTTTCTGCAGATGTCTCGTTCTTCGAGAATACTCTATTCAGTGAAGAGTTCCCTGGTTCGTCTGGTTGTAATTCCGAGACAGATGATTTTCTGACATATATTGTTACTATTCCTGACTCAGTAGGAGTAGAGTCTAGGCCTCCTGTTACGCAGGTTTATCACAGGCGGCCCAGAGAAGGTGATACGCGTGCAGCCCCACCGGTTCCACCAGTAAATCCTCCCTTACCAGAATCTTCGTCGACAGACCAGGATGTTCCTATCGCTGTTCGGAAAGGTACGCGTCGTTGTGTTCGTCCCATTCCGTCTTTTGTGTCATATACCAATTTATCGGCGTCTTCACGTGCTTTTGTGTCCCAGTTAGAGTCTATTCCTGTTCCGAAATCTTTGAGTCAGGCAATGTCCCATGATGGTTGGAGGCGTGCGATGGTAGAGGAGGTAGACGCCCTTGAGGAGAACTAGACCTGGAATCTGGTACAACTTCCCCCTGGTAAGGTTGCTATTGGGTGTAAATGGGTGTATGTGGTGGAAATGAACCCGGATGGGCCTGTGGCTAGACTCAAAGCGCGCTTGGTGGCAAAGGGGTACGCCCAGGCGTATGGTATAGATTATACCGAGACGTTCTCCCCAGTGGCCAAGTTAACTTCTGTGCGGATATTTATTTCTTTGGCAGCTTCGAGACATTGGCCCTTGCATCAGCTTGATGTGAAGAATGCTTTCCTACATGGCTACTTGCGTGAGGAGGTTTATATGGAGCAACCACCGGGGTTTGTTGCTCAGGGGGAGTCTGGGAAAGTGTGTAAGCTGAAGAAGTCTTTATATGGGCTGAAGCAGTCTCCGCGTGCGTGGTTTGGGCGGTTTAGCAATGCGGTTGTTGAGTTTGGAATGCAGAGAAGTGCATATGATCATACTGTCTTTTAGAAGCATACTAACTATGGGTGTGTTTTGTTGATAGTATATGTAGATGATATTGTAATTACAGGCAGTGATACAAGTGGGATTGAGGCACTCAAGTCCTTTCTCGGGTCTGAGTTTCATACTAAGGATCTGGGAGTGTTGAAGTACTTTCTGGGAATTGAAGTTGCACGCTCTAGGAAAGGCATATTCCTCTCACAGAGGAAATATGCGTTGGACTTGCTCGGGGACACGGGGCTGCTTGGGTCAAAACCGTGTGATACGCCCATGGATCAAGGTGTGAAGTTATTGGCAGGAGAAGGGGAGCCGTTTGAAGATCCGGAGAGGTACAGGAGGTTAGTGGGAAAATTAAATTATCTCACAATTACCCGTCCAGATATTGCATTTCCAGTGAGTGTGGTTAGTCAATTCATGAGTGCACCGACCCAAACTCACTGGGAAGCGGCGGTTCGGATTGTGAAATATTTGAAAGGTGCTCCTGGAAAAGGGATTCTTTATGCTGACCACGGGTATATGCGTGTTGAGGCATTCTCCGATGCAGACTGGGCTGGTTCACCAGGTGACAGGAAGTCTATGACAGGTTATTGTGTGTTTGTAGGAGGCAACTTGGTCTCCTGGAAGAGTAAGAAGCAGAATGTGGTGTCACGCTCAAGTGCTGAATTGGAATACTGAGCTATGGCTCATGTGGCAAGCGAAATAGTCTGGGTGCGTAACATTCTAAAAGAAGTGGGTGTTGAAGTGAAGTTACCGATAGATTTGTGGTGTGATAACTGTGCTGCCATACACATCGCGAATAATTCGGTCTTTCACGAGCGGACGAAGCATATTGAAGTTGACTGCCATTTTATACGGGAAAAAGTGGAGCAAGGACTCATATCACTTACACACGTTCGGAGCGGTGATTAACTGGCTGACATATTCACGAAAGGATTGTGTAAAAATCGGGTTTCATATATATGTAACAAGTTGGGCATGTTTGATATCTATGCTCCAACTTGAGGGGGAGTGTTAGTAGGTTGTTAGAGGAAATCTCCTAACTACTCATTTGAATTTTGAAATAACTGGTTAGGAGTTTCCCTTTAGCTTGTATTTAAGCGTAGGC